CCTTTCGAAGAGTATGTAGAGGTTATGCCTAGCCGTCCTTGTAATGGAGATGCCTTGGAGGCGTACTTTATGCTGACTCACACAATGCTCTGACAAGTCATTGTTTTACAACACATCTAGACATAATTAGCAGACTGCTTGCGTGTTTCTCCACTGTATCGGTTTTAACCTACTTTGTAATTGGATGCACCGAATTAATAGATAATGAAGCATTTTGTATAAAACATGAAATGGTGTTTGCCATATTGGGTGGCTTTTAATGTTCACCCTCTCCATTTGTTCGGACATCTGTGCACATTTCAAGGCCTTTGTGTCCCTTTTCGGCAGCCGTGTCGCCACTATTTCTCCCCCACCATGCGCAGCAGCTGCTGATTTGGCGTGTTTAACGCCGCCCCGTGTCGGCGGGTCACGCGGCGGACACTCTGACCCAGACAAATCGCCCCTCGGTAGATCGGTATCTCTCCGGCCGGTCGCAGCTGACACACCTTGGGTGGCGGGCGGGTCGCCGGGTCACCGGGGCAGTCGTCCGATCGAGCCGCGATCGCGGGCCGCCGGTCGGTTGGTGCACCGCCCCAGGCCACTCGGTCATGCGTCAGCCTGAGATCGCAGCCGCCGGTCGGAGGGCTGCTATCCATTCTGTGGCGCAAGGCGCGCTGTCGGCGAGCTGTCCAGTCGCCCCACGACACCGCCAGCCGCACGTGTTGCCTGTTCAGACCACTGAGAGCCGTCGGACCACGCTGAGTCTGACGATTCTCTGGGTCGACGGCGACTGGCTGGCTCGGGCCGTGGCAGGACCGTGATGGGGCCGCGGTGGGGCCGTATCGGGACGTGGCGGAGCCGTATCGGGCCGACCGAAGCCGTGGTCCTTCGTACCGCGCGGCTGCAGGCCGTGTCCGGTCGTGCTCGGCCCGTGGTCGCGCCTGTCGTGACTGTCGGACAGCGGGGCTCCGCGGGCGGTCACGAGTGCTTACAGAACTGACAGAACCTCCGCCGCGGTACCCCGCCACCACTACCCCTGCCCTACCCTCCGGCGGCCTCTGGGCCGTTACCGTCTGGCCAGTTTTGCAAGCAGCGCCGGAAACCGGCCTTTCATCAGGCGTCGGACGCGGCGCGTGTGTCAGTGCGCTCAGCGGCCGACCTGTGTGGCCGCGGCACTCCCGCCGATCTGTCGGCGATAGGCAGCCGTTATGACTCTGTCGAGCGCTGACATGACGAGCGAATGGGTGGTGCGCCCATTCAGACGCGCGCGGGGCGGCGCGGAGTGCGCGCCAGCCGTCTCAATCTGGGCCGCCCAGGTAATCTCCATGTTCGATTAAGCTGACACAAGTCTGGCCATGCTAATGAGATGCCTCTTAGCGTCGACAGCGCGGAGTGTGGCAAGCTAGGGCACGCAGACACACAGACACACACATTCAAAATTGTGAAGCTTGATCGTAATCAAGCTCTCTGGCCCGACAATGGGCGTAGTGCAGCACAGCTCACGACTCTCATTGCCAAGACCATGTTGGCTCTGGTTTTATCGGTGCCATTTAAAGCAAGGAGCTGCCGCAAGTCCGCGGTGGGAAGCGAGTTATCGCTGGTGCAGAGACAACAAGCAAGACACTTGTGCTGCCCAGTGTCCCGTGTCTACCCAAATGGTAATACATGCTTCTGCTGTAAATGCCAGTCCTGTTGTTTGAGGCCTAGGAACCAGGAAAATCTACAATCGGTCCAGGTTTCTCCTGGCGCTTACCAATGCTTATATAACATTTGCAATTGAGTCCTGCCGACCTATGCATGAAATGCTGCAGCCGATGGGGGCACGACCTCGTGCTTAATAGCATTTACATGTGTGGCAAGCAGGTCCGTTAGTTCGTTACCAACTATTACAGTCGTTTTGTCTCCAAACACTTTCCGGTCCGCTGCCCAGTCCAGACAGCTACTCTCGAGTATTCATGGATACTAAAGCCGGACCAGATCCTGCAAATGGCACGACGTCTACCAGCAGTCCTCACTCCTCTGTTACATTTCTGTAGCACGGTGTTATCTTCATACACTGTGTTGCACTCTCACACCTGAGGCGTTGGCCTTGTCGCAGTTTGCAAGCGTTTTGTGTTGTGTTCCGACTACTTGCTGCACTCTATACGGGCACGTTGTTACGTTCTTGGCCGTGCTGCAGTTCCCAAGGCTAGACACCTATGTGCTGTTGCAGTCTCCCAGTACTTTGTGTTAGGCACACACGTGTCACTGCAGTCTCCGTGGTGTTAGACACTTGTGTGCTTCTGCAGTCTCCCGATACCTAGTGCTAGACACCTGTGTGTTGCTGCAGTCTCCAGCCCCTGGTGCTAGTCACTTGTGCGTGGCTGCAGTCTCCAGTCTGGTGCCACGCTTGGGTCTCTGCGGTCTCTCGGTCCGTGGTGATAGGAGCCTATGCGCCATTGTATTCTCCAGTCCATAGTGTTAGGCACTTATGTGCTACTACAGTCTCCATCCAGTCTCTGGTGTTAGACGCATGTGCGACTCTGCAGTCTCTCGGTAACCGAGGTCGTCATCTTTGTGCCAATGCAGTTACAGTCCCCGCTCAATCTATCCGGTCCTCGGAAAATATCTGTCTGAATTTCTTACACCTTGTTCATCCCGCCGGCTGCCGGCAGAGCCACTGCCCTGGGGTCGGCACGTCTCAGCCCACCAGATCCTGGGTCGCGGCCAAAGATCCTTATCTGAGCGTGTGACACGGCGGGGCCACGGTTGCAGACACACGCGCCGTAATACACACACATTACAGATGTACCGGCGTGTACAGATTTGTATCCAGGCGTGGCGAGATAAGCCAAAACAGAATAAAAGTGAAAGTGGGGCTTAGGTGGGACTTTTCGAAAGCTTTGCAATCACGTAACGAACTGCGGCGGGGAATGCACCCTCCGTGCGGTCTGACAGGAACGCATGCTGTGGTTTGATCTAAAAAGTACGTGGTACGTAGGCACGTTATGCGTCATAACTATGCATTGCAATTGAGCCCAGATGATCAACGTATTTTATTACACCGCCTCCCATTTTCTTTAAACTAAACGATATTTAGCACATGCCTTTAGTCAAGACAGAAAGCGTGAAAATTTACTTATCATATCAGTAGTGAAACCGTGTGACACTTCCATTGTAAGGTATTGATTTTCCCAAGTCGGCACTTTTCTGGCCTGAATCTGAGATCGCACACTGGCAATGCATCATCAGAGCAGAAGTGTAACCACTGCGGCGAAATCGGCGCGGTTCTCGGGCTGGTGCGAACGTGGCGCTGGCCGTCTCATGGCCTCTAATGAGCGTGCCGTTCAGCTCGAGCGACCACCTCGAGCGTGAGTGTGGCCGCCCCAGTGGTGACTGGCACTGCGCGCGGCGGCACGCGACAGCTGTGACGGTTCTCTGTGACGGTTGGCTGTGACGGTCCGCGCCAGCCGTCACCACCACTGCTGCCGTCACCTTCCGGGGCCCGCCCGCCGGTGACGGGAGCGAGGAATGTCGAACTGCGTCCGCCCGGTGACCATTGTTGGTCTACCGATGTCGGCTATGCGGTAATCCTGTTACGATTCCGGGCCGTAATGTGAAAACAATGACACCGTAAGCGGGCCGTGTTGGACACGCACGCGCGGTGGCGCTCGACGGCGCGTGATGTCACACAAGAGCTGCGTCTGGCCGGCTGTGGGCTCATCGAAAGGCAGTCGACCGACCGCCGCACCGGTGACCTGACCGCCGACCGCCGGCGCGGCGCGCGCGGTGCCCAGCCAAGGCTGCGGTCACTCGGGGAGGTCGGAGACACAGCGGGCCGACCGCACGGCGCGGCGGTGCGACTCGGCCGCTGCCAGGTCACACCGGGTCGTGCCGGTCACCCCAGGTCAGAGGTCACGGTCGGAGCGGCGGCGGCGGCGACAGCGAGCCGTCGCCGCACCGCAGCCGCCGACAGAAGAATGAGGGGCAGTGCCGGCCTCCCGAACAATGGCACACGCTCGATGATTGGTGGCGCAGAAAAAGCGAGACGACACCCGCGCATCACGTGGGGAACCAGCGCGATTACTGCTCATAGCGTCTCGCCGCCGAAGCTGCTGCTGCTGTCGCAGACCTAACCTCAGCTCTGTTCGCGAGCTAGCGGGGAAACTGGCGCTGGGGCCCCTGGTGGAACAGCATGATTCAGTCAAGGTCCGTCGGGCTCGGTGCCCGCGCGTGACGGCTTACCATGACCCGGCGCGGCTCCGCGCACCGTGCTCTCGAGGAGGAAAGTGTCCGCGCTCGGCCGTGCAGCAAAACAGTCTGCTCTGTAGGCCGACCCGAGCCCTGCAGAGAGCGCGGTCCCGGCTCCCACGTCCCGCTCGGCCGCGGAAAATTGACTTTGACTACGGATTCCGGAAACATGCTGGACCGAGTATCCGTGATATAGACAGGCGGGCTGCAGGGCTACTGCAAAGGTGCGGACGGGCGGTGACAGCGAAAGTGCGGTATCTAGACCAATCATCCTTGCGCAGCGAGCTAACGTTTGGTTGGGTAGTCCACTGCATTGAAATTGCTCCTACGGATAACTTCCTTCTGGGCGCTGGTTTTTTCCGACTATTCACCTGGCCGACTGAGACCAATCTCTATGAAGTCACGTTTACTTTTCCTTTCATGGCCGTAGCTTGCTGAACACGAGTGACTTCGCTCATCGACCGTATTGTGTGTCAGATAAGATAGCCGTTATAGCCCTGTTCTTCACAACAATGTCTCTACAATCAATCACATTATATCCTTGTTTGTCACAACAATGTCATCTACTATCAATCACCATGATATGCATGTCAGCACCTTCACGGAAGCAGACACTAATAACGGAATGCCGCTGCACAAGACGGATCACCTCGGTCGCCTTCAGCGGGCGGCACCCGGGCGTGGCCCGTAACCTACCCCCCTTCCTCGTCCCCGCTCTGCCCGACCTTGGTGCTCTAATTAGACAGTGCCGACGCGGGGCGGTGTCCAATTACACTGTTCTTCTGTTCCAGGCGCGTCAGCGGCACAATTTAGATCGTCGTTTCCCGGGGGGCGCAAGGCGTCTGAAGACTTTGACTGCCCTGAAGACTTCGGATACTATCCCCACCCTGTAGACTGTTCTAAATACTACGTGTGTGTGTTCGGCGGAGCGCTGGAGGAAGTGTGCACCAACGGACTCGTATACAGGTCAGTGTCAGGTCAACGCGGCTGCAAGGCGGAGCCGCCGCCCTGCGCGCATTCCACGCTCCACTACAAACAATACAGCTCGTGATGGAGTCCTTACCGCTCTAAACTGGCTTAATTGCCACCGGAACCTTTCGACCGTGACCCAAATATAGCGCTCCAGATGATTAGTGAACAAAATGCCTCGTCACAGCGACACTGAACTTGGGAGCCGACTTCCAGAATGTCGAGATCACGTGGGTAGACTGCTTGGCCTTAAGCGTCCCCACGGCGTCTCCCAGTGGCGCTCGAAACGGCTCGTAGGAATTCCTTAATTGAATGGGTGATATTTTGACGGTCATAGTTTTCGCTAAGTGGCCGACTCCTAGCCCGGCAGACCCTATTGAGCAATTGAGGTCGCCTCAGTCGCCACCTCAGCCACAACTCTATTTAGGTTCCATGGGGTGTCTGTCTACAGAGCCACATCAACTCTTTGCTATATTAAGTATTGTTTTATAAGCTATTCGCTCATTTCGCCATGGTAAGCTTAAACGAGTTGTCCACTATGCATAGCAGCTGCCTCAAAGCTGCATTTCAGTGATAGTCTGTCAGTGTTTCCCTAGCGGCTGTTAGCTTCTTTGTGTCTCGTTGATGACCAGCCCCTCTTTCTGTCCTCCCCGTGTAACTGTTGACCGGTGGTTTGTTCCAGTGATGACCTGCTCACCTGCGACTGGCCCCGTAACGTGGAGTCGTGTGCTGGCGGTGTTGACGTGCCGCGCTCCTCATCGACGGGTGCCGCCACGGCCGCCGCCAGCAGCGCGGCCCCGTCCCGGGCACGGCAGCCGTCCTCCCGCGGCCGCCAGACCGCCCCCACCACCTCCCGCAGGTCAGTCGGGGAGACGGGTCAGTGGAGGGGGGACGGGTCAGCCGATCCGGTCAGTGGGGAAGATGGGTCAGTCAGGGAGACGGGTCAGCTGAGGTCAGTTAGGGAGAAGGGTCCGTGGGGAGCGGGTCAGTGGGGAAGATGGGCCAGTCGGGAGACGGGTCAGTGAGGGAGACGGGTCAGCTGAGGTCTGTTAGGGAGACGGGTCACCGAGCTGGTCAGTGAGGGAGACGGGTCAGTGGGAAGACGGGTTAGCCGAGCTAGTCAGTCGAGAGGATAGGTCCACTTAGATTAATGATAGGTGGAGCCAAGCAGGCGATCTATCGGCTGGCGCCTGTTCATGGCCAAATGATGAGTAGAATGTGTTGGAAATTCCTCGACGTCTATCTTTCCCGAATGTCTGAGGGATGCAGTTCTCACCGGCTTACTCCGGTATCGGCTCCCGAGAACAGCTGGCTATTAATCCGCGTGCCACGGTACAAGTGCGACTATGTCTACTGAAACGGAGCCGGTACCACAACAATGGCTCGCTATATCCCGCCGTGAGGCTAAGCCATGCTGTCTGTGAGAAACAATAGAAGCCTTCCCGCGTTCGGCACATGGGTGGTGGCTGAAAACACACGAGGGTAATGGGTTTTGATTACGCCGCTTTAGTACGCGGTGCAAAAACTCCTTTGTTCTGGGTTTTTATACCCATGGTGTTATCCCTGCCAGCCGGTTGTATGGACAACACTGACAAGACAGACTATAGACGAGGGTTTTGGGTGTCTGATGTCTAACGAGCTGTAAGAGCTCCCGAAACATTTTACGCTGACCGTGACCTCTGTTTTTTTTCGTGTTTGCATATTTTAAGCACGCTCCGGTGACCTTATGTCACAAAATGTCAACTTGACGTCAACCTTTGTCGACGTTATACTACGCTAGTTATACAATCAAAGGACTGGCTTACCGACTGCTGTTCAGGCGCACAAACGGCGTCTCAAGTAGCGAGGCCACCGGGGCCGTTTCAAAACGGCCACCATTGTTGCTGGCTCGGCCGCCCGCAGATAAACCCAAGAAGGGACGTCCCACACCCCAGCGGGATCAGCGCCTCCCGCAGACCGATTCGGCGATATCATGGTCCTCTGCCCCCGCCAGTGACCCTCCTCAAACACGCCAGATTGCCCGGCCCGCGATGAGAATAGAATCACACGCCATCATCACCTCCGATTACCATCTCCAATGAGGGGCCACGTCCGATCCGCTCCCAGCTCCTCCAAACGCCAAAACAAGTCGATAACGAGCTCGTTTACCATGGCATTACGTGCGCGGCACCGCCCCCGCCGCCTGTCGGCCCACGCCCAGAACTTCGGCAAACAGAATAATCGATGGCGACGCCGCACCTGGCTGCTCGCCCGCTCCCTGCCCACCGCTGGCCGGTGACCTGGCCTGACCTCTGGCCACAGGGGGAGCAGAGCCGCGGACCACCTGGCGATTTATGAGATGTAAAAGGGTGTTCTGAATATGATCGAGATATGCGATTGGCGAAGTGCGAGCTGCATTGGCTAATACAGTTCGTGAATCGCGTTGTTTTATCGATTCTGAGATTCTTTCATCTCGTGATTATGGGCTTCATTTCAATGCATATGATTACCAACCAAATCATCCTCTGAATGGCACTCATGACACTGTGCAGCACCTTGTGTGGCCCTGTTTGACAACGTCTGACCCCGTCCGTGTCACCCTCTCAGGCCCGTGCCCGTGAGGAACAACCTGGACGATCAGCACAGCAGCGACCGCGACCTGGCCGAGCAGGCCCGTCTGCTGGGAGGCATCGAGAGCCAGCCTTCCCGAGACATCAACGTCCGCTTCGAGGGAGATACAAACGTGAGTTTTCTGGGAGGGTGCGCAAGCAGAGAGCGACGTAACCCCTAAGAGGTCATGGCGAGGGTACAGCGGCGGGCTGTGGGAGAGATGACGGGTTGTGGGCGGCATTGTATGGGGTCAAAGGCAAAGAAGGTCAATTAAAATGCGATACCTAAATTTCAAAGTCTGAATGTTCTGATGTCCAAAATTTAACTAGAAGATCGGCAAGCAAAATGATGTCTACGCTCTACAGACATCATTTTAGATGTCTGTTTCTATCATCATTTATATTTTAGATGTAAGTAGACGGTCTGAGGGCCGCCAGACTCGCAGGGAGAGAGTAGTAGTGGATGGCGACAGCTGCAGGCATCTGAGCGGTTACCTAACTAGCAATCAGTGGCTGTAGCAGAGTCAATGGCACCAAATAGCGGGAGGCGAGCCATCCCGGCCGTCACATTGAGCCAAGCTGTGGAGTCGAACGGCACGTATCGTTGACATACGACGCCGTTTGCATAAGAACAGTGGCTCAGCTTTGCCGCTGACCTGTATTGCAACGGCCACTGGAGGAGCGCTGGGCGCTCTGTCTCGCCCAGCTCCGTCCGATAATTGGTCAGACTCGCCACTCTGTCACCGTTGCCATGCATCAAACGGCGCCGGTGCGTGCTATTGGCGACACGACCAGGATGACCTATACGGTGACCCCGGCCCGGCCGGCTAACTAGCCTGATTATAGGACGGTCAGATGTAATCAGACGGTGACGACAGACAGATCTGATGGGATCGTGTTCAGTGACCTGACCTAGGCTGACGGGCGACGGCCCTATAGTGACGTGTGTGTGGTGAGTGCTGATCATGAAGCCCCCCCTCACCGTGACCTGTCAGTGACCTGACCCGCCGGACCCCTCTGACCGGTCACCCTCTGCACCGCCCGCAGAAGATCGTGGCGCGTCGCCAGCAGCGGCTGTTCAGCCCCGACAGCAGCAGCGGACGGGGACGCTTTCAGCAGAGCCTGCAGTGAGTACCGGACCGAGCTCGGGATACATGGCGCGTGGCACCACTCAGCACAAATAACGTCATTTATACTTAAGCATGACTCACGCTTAAGCATGACTCACGCTTTCCACAGTACCTTATGCTAAAACGGAATGCTGATTATGTAACCTATTTATAAAGTTATTTATTTGCATTTATTTATGTAGTTATTTAGTGATCACTCACTGTTCATTTCCAACAAGCGAAGCCACAAATGTAAATAACTTGACGTTGGCATCATGACATCAAACAATGCTTATGCGAAGAACTCATTTTTTCAGACAAAACACTTATTATGCTGTCATCCTCATCGTGTTGGCGTAAGAACGCCGTTTAGCTATCGGCAAATGTGCCGTGACTTTTGTCCATACCAATCACCGAATTTGTACATCCTGGAAAGGGAAGTGTTAGCTCACCGACCGTAGATGAAGACACTCTCTGACCGGTTCCCATCTGAGCCTGGGGTTATTGGCGCGCTGCACGGATGTACTGAGTTATCTGGGCTGACCAGAGGGCAGGAGTCAACAGCACGACGAAGCAGGCAAACAGAGATCTGCAGCTGTGTCTACTGTCTATACAGATAGACAGACAGGTAGACATACCGACGTTTCGCGAGAGTTACACGCTAAGTTAACTGCGCGGAACATGTTAGTAACTCTGGGATACGGGACGGGTGAGTGGAAACTGAAAACGTTTAGACACTCGAAGACTTGTGGTGGGTTTACAGGCACGATGACACGCGTGTGAAATGCCCAGTCTGGTCGGTAGAAAACGGTTAGCGGGAACATTCTGTAGTTTCTCTTGATGGCACACCTGATTCAGAAATGAGCTATTGCTTTCGAGTAAGTGCGAAAATCTCTCATCGTGGGAAAACTGTGAGTTTGCTATTACTTTCATAATATTCGTGCTATGATAAACTCAGTTTTATCGAGCCCATGAGTAATGACGCGATAATTATTGCAGCTAAACCTACTTAACACCTTGTTAGTAAGCTACCTTGCGCTGGCCCTCAAACTCTCTCCAGTGAGTTGGAGGCCAGGTTAGCGTTCGAACTCAGCGGGGAGGGCGGGACACGGGGTCACGAGTCGACGGGGCTACACGACATTAGCTGACCAGTGTCTCAGCCCACGCCACCGGGAACAGAGCGCACGACGGCCTAGCCGTGACACACGACGGGCCAGCCGAGGGCAGTCAGTTCTGCTGAGTTGGCCGCATCGGTCGCCTACAGGACACCGCCTGTGATAATTGTGCGCTGATCTAACCGACACTATATCATTGGGAACATTAATTCACTAATGTTTAATCGGAACGTCACTGTGATGAATTTATCTCCACAAAACGATCAAATTTATTTCGCAACGCAACGCGTAGATCGACCTAACTGACCTAGATAAGTGGCAATAAAGAAACGTAAACGAAACAAACGAACTGAACCCGTGAATACACACCATCAATCGAGACGCCCGTGCGGCACGTCACAATTCCGCCGCCGCTCGCTCATAAACCGCTTTGTTGTGCCGTGACCTGACTGCGGGGCCACCCAGGGGGGTTCAGCCGCTCGGCTCGGGTAGGTCGACACAGCCGCTGTGTGTGTGTCTGGACAGCCCCGGCGCCGCCGCCCACTGTTGACCCTGCACCCCGACCCAGCCGGCACCGCGCCCGACCATGTGTAACAACACTTGACCTTGCCGCGGCAGCGGCCGCCCGCTGCGCTCCCAGGACTGATGGGCACGCGAGCCGGGTCGCCCCGCCCCTCTCCGCCCCCGCCCGGTGCCGACAGCCACTCACCCTCCCTCCCGTCTCTATTTTAGAGTCGCCCCTCGTGCAAACGACACGACTCGGCCGCCCGACAAGCCTGACACCGCTGACGCTGACTCTGACTCGACTGACGCGACTGCTGACTCCACCGGCGCTGACGAAGCTCCGAGTCTGCCCAGCGGGGTACTTCTGCCCCGGGTGGGCGCGCTGGACTATAACGTCTCACTGGAGGAGGATCCGGTGTTAGAGGCCGAGTCTGCCGGCCGTCTGTTTCTGCAGCTGCCGCCGCCGCAGCGGGCAGCCGCCTCCGGTCGGCGCAGCGGCCGCCGGCTGTCGCGACCCTTCATCCCGGCTCCCCTGCGCGGCGGCGCCGATCCGTTCGCCGTGCTCAAACACCACCGACAGCGCTCCGTGGCACACGCCTTCCCGGCGAACGGGTTCGGCTCCGGACGGGGCCAGTTCTCCGCCCCGTTCACACCGTCCCGGCCGACCAACAGTCAACAGGAGTACCTGGACCGCGACTACTACGGGCCGCAGAGCTTCTACGACCGGCCGTACTACCGGCCGTACGATAACCCGTACCGGAGTCCGTACAACCCGTCATACAACCAGCAGTTCAGAAATCCGTACGGGGTGTACGAAGACGATTTCCAGACTCAGATCTTCAACAGCAAAACCAAAGAGGTAGTGCGCAGCCCACCAGCTGGAGATTCGCATCAAGATGAGGAGGATTTTAGACCCTCTGCTCAGTCGCCCCCGTACAAGACGTACCAGTCGACACCGTACAAATACAAAGACCAGTACCCTAACGCACCGTACAAATATGAAAAAGACGAGTATAGGGAAGCAGAGTATAACAAATATGAAGGGCAGCAGTATAATGAATCACCTTACAAGTACAATAATGACGAATACCGGGACTCGGCGTACAAATACGACAAAGATGAGTACGATCGGCCGACGTACAAGCCGTATGAAGCGGCCCCCGTCGAGGAGGGGTACGTAGCACCTGTGACGTACCGTCCTGCCGTGCCGTACTCGGAGGGGTACGGAGACCTGTACCCGACGGCGGCGCCGGCCACCGAGCCGCCTAAAGTGACCACCTACCGACCGGCCGTGACCCCGTCGCCCTCCTCCGACCGGGACCGGGACCAGAGACGGGACCACGACCGTGAACCGCCGACCGTGGTGTCCCCGTTCGCGCCCGCTGAGTTGGACAGCTGGTTCCCGCCGTTTGCAGCACCGCTTCCGGAACCAGCCAAGAACCAGACTCGGCCTTCCTACGAGCGGGAGCCCTCGTATGAACGGGAACCTGCGTACGAGCGAGAACCTACATACGAAAGGGAGCCTTCATATGACCAGGGGCCGTCGTATAACCGAGATCAGGGAATTTACTTTGACTCCAGACCTAGTCTGCCCCTGTCGCCTTACTCGCGGCCTCGACGACCTGACTTGTACGACCCGTACGACTATGACTCTTACTACGGACCGGCGACTCGACCTGGCCTGACACCCACCGGCGGATACGGCAGGTAACAGTGCCGCCGCTTGGGGCGCTGCCAGTCTGCTGGGTGGGCCCGATCAGGGGACATGACGGGAGGGACCGTGACAGACGAATTACCGAGCCCGACATTTGACTTGCATCGTGATAGGCCATTGTGGAAAGTAATCGATAGCCTTCGTCGATATATCCATCGGATAACGTTAACATTATGAAGGGGCCACCTAACCTTTCAATTTTGATTCAATTGTAACGATTCTGAGCCGGTTCAGAGGAAATTCCATTTAATTGCAACTGATTTGCCTTTTACCGCCGAGTAAAAATGCGCGAGCTCAGCATGCACTTCACATCACGTTTGCCCGCTTGTGTGCCCTGTCCGTCACTGTGCACGATATTATCACCCGTCTGACGCCTCCCCCTCCCCTCCCTCTGCAGGGACAACTCTGAGCTGCGCGCCAAGGCGACGGCCGCGCCACCGATCCGCATCTCCACCCTCTCTTCCTTCTCCTTCGGCGACACGGGCACCCGTTTCCCGGAGCGCGAGCCGCCGCGTCCGTCGTCGACGTTCGCGCCGCCGCCGGCCCCCTCCGCCCCGTCCACCTTCGTCTCGTCCAACCGCTTCCCGTCGTCTCCGTCGCCGTCGCCGTTCCCTCCGTCGTCGCTGACGGTGCAGACGGTGAGCACGGGCCGTCCGCCGGTGCCGGCGCCGACCCCGGCCTCGCCCGACGTGCAGACCTACACCGAGCCGGCCTACGTGGCCTACGTCAACGACACCATCTACGACGTCTACTACATCTATGACGACGAGGAGGTGCTGTATGAGGACGAGGTGCCCGACTCGCCGAGCCGCCAGCCGGCCCCGCCCACCACCACCGAGGCCGTGAGTAGGGAGTGGGTGGGATGATGATGATGGGAGAGGAACGGATGGGACGGGACGGGAGTGAGAGGTTTGTTATATTAGCGTAAATTGCAGACGGGACCGGAAACTCGACGATCGGTAACGAATTCGGTAAATGTCATGAGCATAGGGATATCAATTGCTGCGATCAAGCTGCAATATTTGATACATATATTGTGTAAGCAATATTTGCATTTTAGGACCTCAACCTTCGTGGCATAAGATGTATCCGATATACTTTATCTTCAATTTAATCCGTTAACAATGCCCATTTTCTTTTTTTCTGCAGACGCCCGCCCGCACCGAGTTCCCGCAGCGCACGACCCTGAGCCCGCCCCGGTGAGTAGCTACCGTATATCTTTATTTTCTACCCTCTGCCACTACTGACTAGGCTACCTATTGCCCCAGCCTGGAGTTTTCCCTTCTTCCCTTAGAACTGGCCAGACCTCGAGGGTAACAGGGCGGGACGAGAGCGACACGACACTGAAAAGGGTGCTAGACATCTGACCCGAGTGACGAATAGTTCGTAACCTGACTGATCTAATCCACAAGAGCGTGTCAGATACATGCCGTCTACATTATGCATATAATATTTGACCAAGTCATGACTCATTTTTACCCGAACACTCAAAGGAACTCGGTGCTAAAAGAATGACACAATTCACTTGTCTCCTATTCACGATCGGATATGACATCAATGACATTGTGACATGAATGTGACATGGTCGTGAGTTCGTGACGTTATCCACATAGGACATGCCCGCTCGGTAACCCTGGCTTCCCCATAGTCTGACCAGACTGAGGTCGCGGAAGCGTCAGCGGACCAAGTCGCGTAAGCCGACAAAGACGAAAACGACGGACGAAACTGGCGACGAGACCAAACCGACCAAGCCGCCCGGACGCAGGCGACGCATCCGGCCGAGGAAAAAGGCGACAACGACAACGACGGTGTCGCCCGTCACTGACCGACCTGACCCTGACCCCAGGTACAGACTGAGACCAAACACAGTAGGTCGGACAATATATGCTTGGGCAGGGTTTTATTGTTTTCTTTTATAAGCTTTTGGCCAATTAGATCCCTTTTAAGTTTTTTTTTAAGAAATAGGTCTAGCGTACGACGTTATTCAGCTTGGCCTGCAACACAATGACGAATAGGACGTTGCGGATAAGCTTCGGAGATAACATCAAGTCCACTGACAGAGCATGCACCTGTCCTTGACGCGCTACTTGCTGACGAAGAGGCCATGTGCCCCCGACTGATACCATAAACGCCCCGTCAGAGCATGCGATTAAAGCCGTGCTGTCCGCCGATGGCGCGGGACTGCCACCGCATTGCATGTGAAGGGTGGTGCGAGGCCATCCGACAAGGCATGACAATGGAGGGCGTGAGCCCCTCCGTACCGCGATAAACGCTGCATGACCGCCGCTACCCGGAGCTCGTCCCGGGAAACACACCGCCACTGTGATAGAACGCCAATGTTTCATCCGTAATTGCATGTCAAAACAGTGGCATTGAAAACGGCAGACACCATGGGAAACAAATTTGCTTGATAACATTATTACGGAACCCATTCTTTATCATCCCTCACATGATAACCATTACTGCAATGATTCATGCGGTTTCTAGGGAACACCTACACAATCGTTTACTAACGTCTTACCGCCCTCATGCAAATGTGGACTGTTTTGATGGATACGCGCTACCGCGGGTGCCTGTGGAATGCGATGTCGTTCGTAACATCTGAATCTGCCCACCTATTCATCTATCTGGGTTGGGGTTACCCCGGGTGATTGTGGTTCGGGGGATGGAATGGATTGCCGCCTATAGTTGCCAATGATCTCCCCACGAAGTGAACACCTGTTTGATGCATGTCTGCGACTGTCTCTGCCTCACTGTCTGCGGTGTCTTTGCGGTGTCTCGGCGCTCCGGGACCGTCGCTGCCCGGTCACCTGCCTCCGTACATGGCCCCGTCTGAGGGCCACGCATGCTGCCCGTTCTAGTGACTGGAATCCGACACGACCGACCGTCAGCAGCGTCTCCGGCTTCGGCTCGGAGGCGCGGCCTGGCTCGCGAGGACGGGGACGGGGCGGATCCTCCCGCACGACCTCCCCACCCCTCCGAACCTCGACCACCACACGGCAGCCGAGCAGGTTCAGGTGCGTATGTAGACTCAGCTTGTAGACACTGTAGGTACGCAGACTGCTGAAGGGCTCGAGTCATGTGGTACGTAGACTATCGGGCGATGAAACGACTGTGATACATTGCGAAAAAGATAATTGATTACTAGATAAGACTGGGAAAATTATATTTCCGGCGTGATGAACGGTCATTATTACTGCTCCAGTAGAGCAGGTGCCAGTAATTTCTAAATAATTCATTTTATTTTCCTAGCCTCGTGGCTTTTGGACAGTGTTCATTGTATCCAGCGTTGCTCGTAGCTCCATCTGACGTCTGCTCCTCGTCCCCAGTTTCAGCGCCACGGACAGCTTCCGCCAGCCTCCCACCACTGACCTGAGCTCGACGCGCGGATCCACCGCCGGCTCGACGTTCAGCGCCCCCAGCCGCGGATCCACTTTCCAGTCGACCTTCGGACAAACCTCCACACGCGCATCCGCGCCAGCCAGCGACGGCTTCGGCTCGACCCGCACCAGCTCCGAGAACTCGTTCGGTTCGACCCGTACCAGCTCCGGTTCGACCCGTACTAGCTCGGAAAGCTCGTTCGGCTCAACACGCACTTCGACCCTGGGCTCGACTCGTACCTCAACCCTAGGCTCGACTCGCGGTTCGACTCGCGGCTCAACCCTGGGCTCCACTCGCGGCTCGACGCTGGGCTCGACTCGCGGCTCGCTGGTCGAGGCGCCGAAGACGCCGTCCCGCGGCTCTGTGCGTGGCTCGAAGACGTCATCCAGCTCCAGCCGTCGCCGTCGCCCGACCAACGGCCTGCGTTCCATCGACTCCGGCAGCAGCTCGCGCCGCCAGCCCAAGTAAGCAGCGCTGGGAGGGCCGGAGCGGTGGGGTGGGGTATAAGGGCCGACAAGGAGACAGAGAGGATAGGGAATGAGTTTGACGGAAAGCGAAGAGGATACGATAACCTTTAATCAAGTCCCATGCGGGAAGATAAAGGTGGTATGAACCATTCATGATAACTGGGGAATGGAAAGCCGAAAGGTTCCAATATTAGGGAGAAGCAAATCTTTGAGTGAATTCTTTTGAATACACTCAATGCCGTAGGTGAACTGTTGCTCCCCACACTCTCGCCACCTCAACTCTGAGCACTGACCGTTGACTATGCCTGTCGTTACAGCGGAGTCACGTTCCCGAAGCGCCCCAAGAACTCTGGCAAGAGCAAGAGCAAGAGCAGCAAGGTGGTCAACATCTGGGAGCACCCGCCGCGCAGGTGAGTAGCCCTACTGCCATTCTGGGTAGTAACATCCCCAATATTGTTCGCGATCATTCATTCCAGGTAAATACCACCACCACGTTCTAGGTAACACAGTTTCAATCTTTGTGAGCCATTCAGGCCTCAGTTTCAACCAATACGAGTGGGGCATTTTCAGCCTGAATACGAACGTCGCAAAACTCCATGTTTCAACCTCACGGAACGTTCCGATTGTCTAGCATGGCCCGAACTGACCCGACCTCTGCTGCCACAGGCCTGACCCGGTGTACGCCACGCCGATCCCCGACGATCCCGCCGAGCGCTGTGACGCCCGCTGCAAGCTGCCTGACTGCAACTGCGGAGGCACCGCCACGCCAGGTGCGTATAAAGTCCCTGACTCGCCTATAGCATCGGGCTACTGGATGAGGCGATGGGGAGCGAAAGAATGGTGACAAGCATACTGAGATCAGCGTTTATTGCTGGATGCTTAGCCCATGAAGCGGGGCCAGTAGCCATGACAGGAGCGAACACTTCTTTGAACACTCATGAACATCTAGCACACATGCTTGTTTATTGTTTGCATATCAGCACCATTTCGGATTCTTGTTATTAGCTAGCTGCACCAGTGCTTGTTCAACTCATTTCTTGTGGCGCAACCGGTCGCAATAGCGGAACGACTCATGTCCTTCAGCTGACCTCCATCCACAATGCAGGTGGTCTGGAAACGGCCAGCGTGCCGCAGCTGGTGCTGCTCACCTTCGACGACTCGGTCAACGACCTCAACAAGGGCCTGTACAAGGACATGTTCGAGAACAACCGCGTCAACCCGAACGGCTGCCCTATCTCTGCCACGTTCTACGTGTCGCACGAGTGGACCGACTACCAGCAGGTGCAGAACCTGTACGCCGACGGACACGAGATCGCCTCGCACTCCATCAGGTGAGCGCCGAGGGGTGGGCCCTGATGGTCAATGGGGTAAGAGCTTAGCAAGGTGGGTAGTTGGGTACCTGCCGGGCTTCTTTGGCGGTGATGAAGGAGGTTTTAGCTGGGAATATGGTCATGGTGGTGAGGGCAGAGGGATGGTGAATGCGTTTACTGGGTTACTGAGTTATAGATTGAAGACTGTGAGAGGTATATATTTGGGTCACCGGGATGTTGCCTGATGCAGGGTACAGGTAGCTCGTGACGCGCCTTACAACCTCTAAGACGTCCTTTCGTTTCGGTTCACAGTCACAGTTTCGGTGAGCAGTTCTCCACTTCTAAGTGGGAGCGGGAAATTGCCGGACAGCGTGAGATCCTGGCGGCCTACGGCGGCGTCCGCATGGAGGACATCCGAGGCATGCGCGCGCCCTTCCTCTCGGTGAGTGGCAGCGGAGAGCACTGGATGGAGCGATTCAGACTTCATGAGCCGCATATTTGACTGATTGTGTGGTGACCTTTCGCATCCTATCCTCATTCTTGCGTTTCGATACCTAAAGAAGCATTTACTTTGATAGGTGGTTCTTCGCTGTGCGATTGGAGTGTGCAAATGAGGAGAATCTCCGTTCTGTTCTGGCAAATACTTCACGCCTGTTCTCTCCTCCCCTCAGATCGGCGGAAACCGTATGTTCAAGATGTTGTACAACAACAACTTTACGTACGACTCGTCGATGCCGGTGTACGAGAACAACCCGCCCAGCTGGCCGTACACGCTCGACTACAAGATCCACCACGACTGCATGATCCCGCCCTGCCCCAGCCACTCGTTCCCAGGTCAGTGGCGGTAGGATTGGAGGGGGTCAGGTGCTGGGACTAAGGACACCATGATAGGTGTGGGTTGGATGGTTTAAGTGTTTACTGGTTATCAGCTGGTAGCTTTCTTGAATGCCATAGCAATACTTGTAGAGGATCTTTTCCTGTGCCAAAGTTTCGTGTCCCGTCGATGCCACTCATTGCTTTAACTTCATCAGCATGTGTCACAAATACCTTCGACAAAGCCAGATCGACGATGTCGCGAAGCAGTAGGGTAGCGAACAAAAGGGTTGACCCGTTCTTTGACCGAGCTCTCTTCTTGCGTCTCCAGGCGTTTGGGAGGTGCCGATGGTGATGTGGCAGGACCTGAACGGAGGACGGTGCTCCATGGTGGACGCCTGCTCGCCGCCCAAGTCCGCCGAGGACGTCTACAAGATGCTCATCAAGAACTTCGAGCGCCACTACAGCTCCAACAGGTGAGTTGGAGCCTTCAGGGTCCGTCTCATTCAGCCGGACGAGATGAGTGACGCATGGAACTTGGTGAAAATCTAGGCGATGTCTTGCCAAACTGTCACTTTCCTTATAATATAATATGAATATTGGGGAATGCCACAGCTGCCAGAGTTCCCTTCAACTTCTGCGCTTACAGTTTTACCGACTCTGCATCATTCTTACCGGATCTCCTATCGAACCTTTAACGAATATCCGCCTCGTCCCACGTTGGATTTCTGGCTCAGCCCGAGCCTAACCTCGGCTTCATTCCAGGGCCGTGTTCCCGCTGTACTTCCACGCGGCCTGGTTCACAACCGAACATCACAAGGAGGGCTTCATGGCCTTCCTGGACACCATCTCCAGCATGGATGACGTGTGGCTGGTCACCAACTGGCAGGCCATCCAGTGGATGCGTGACCCGCAGCCGCTCAGCACCGTCAACAGCTTCCAGCCGTTTGGCTGCGACTACCCGGTAAGAGCGGAGAAAGATCGGGGACGGAGCTCGAGCAAAGGTCGGACGGAGATCGAACCGAGATCGAGCGGCGTAGCCGCACGACTTGATTTTGGAGACTTTGTGCAGTCGACACACATTATCGCTTACCTATAAAGCTCATAACACGGTTTATGCCGATCCTCCTAAGTGCGATGTAGGATGTTTTGTAGTTAATTGATGTCCTTCTCTGTCCTTGATTCAATTTATGAAGCGGTACATTTTAAACCATGCTGACTTTAAACCATCTCCCATTTCAGGAGCGGCCGGCGCGCTGCACCAAGGCCAGGAAGTGTAACCTGTGGCACAAGTCGGGCGTGCGTTACATGAACACGTGCCAGCCGTGCCCGGAGAAGTACCCGTGGACGGGCAAGACGGGCGTGAGCAGGCCCTGAGCGGTGCCTACCGGCGCTGCGCCTCTTCCTAACTTATACAGAGACAGCGCGGCCGGCCGAGTGTCGTGTGTTTGAAGCCCGACACGCCGGTGCCGGCCGGGCGTCCCGCGCGCGTGTCAGGAGTGTCAGAGTGTGTCAATGAGTGTCAGAGTGAGAGCGAGTGTGTGAGAGCGCCGCGTCGCCGTCCGGTTGTCTCTCGCGTGCCAATTATCGTGATACTGAGCTGCCGGGCGAGCCGGGGCGCCGCGCCCGAGACGCCCCGACCCGATTGTGACGCAGACGCCCCCGTGACGGGTGGCGGAGCGGTCAGAGCCCTACTGTTCGTCGGTCCGACATTCCCAGCGGAGAGAATCAGACCGGTCCGCTATGGACGGTCGATTGAGAAAGGTAACTACTTGGTCCATTGATCGGTGTACCAAGGCATTCAGCATTATGTAGATACCTTCACCCTATGTGCGAAAATGCATAGTGAAATATCGATATAGCAGGGCTGAGACACATATTATGATGTGATAAACAGCTTGATAAATAAAGGTTAGTGAAAACTCAGTCGTTTATTCGGAAAACGTCACGGGGAAGACGGAATACTGATTGGGGAGGCAGAGTCAGCTGTTGGGTACTGTATGAATATTTGGCCTTGCACTTTGCACAGGCAAGTGCAAAACAAAGTAATTGTACAAACAATAGCAACTATTGGCATACCTTGTACGTAATCCTATCATACGCTCGATTTGAAACACCGTCACACCACACAGCGCTGAAGAACTAAGTTGTATCCAACAAACCAACTGAGCATTGAAATTTGAAAGCCTTAAGCCCACGCCGCGAGCGCAGACTATTCGATGCATTATTAGCACAGCCCACTCGGCCTATCAAACCCTACCCTCTAACTCCTTCTCACACTGCGGCAGTGCGGCTCCCTGGGCGAGATTCACGTGCGCAACACGCTCCACCTCAGCTGTCTGGTGGAGGCTGCCACCCACCCCGTCCCCGAAGACTGACCTTCAGACACTGCGCGGCGGCGGACGGACCACTTGTCTCCGTACTCCGTGCACAGCTATCTCCGTACTCAGTGACGGCGAGACAAGTCCAGCCATCACCGGAGGTGACTGTAAGGACTGCCTTGGCCCCCAAGGGTGGGTGACTGGAGGAGCCTCAGCCACCAGACGGTAACTGCGTGGGCCGCCTCAGTCACCAGGCGTGACTAGAGCAGAGCCGCCCTAGCCACCAGGGGTGCCTGGACGGACTGACCTCAGCCGGCCACTCCTTGCTGGGGTGTCAGGCTGCCCAGCACCGAGCCGCTGATGTGCTGCAGCACCCGCTTCTTCACCGGCGAGTCGTTGGGGATGTTGAAGCACCCCACGACGAACTGAGACAGGGTACTGGCGGAGGCATCCATCTGCTGCAGCTCCCAGTCCATGCAGGGGGAGACGGGGACCGTATCGTCGGCAGGTGGTGTCTCTTCCTTCGGCGGCAGTTCAGCACTCTTCTGCTCCATACGGCTGGTGAGCTGACGGCGGGAGAGAACAGAAGTAAGGCACTGGACTGGGGTGAGGCCTGTGATTACGGTCAAACGTATGGCTAAGAATCCTCTCAGAAAACTTGAATATTAACGCTATCAGAAATATAAAAGCAACTTATTAATCGTTATGCCACATCCTGAAGATGAAACCTTCAATGCAACTGACTTGAAACAATAAAGTGGTTCGCTATTTGGACTACCATCAGAGAGCGTATTCCCGCACATCACTGCTTTTGATATAGGTAGTACTTTGTTTACTGTTCGAGCCGAAGGACATGGTCCTGTTAAACTGGCCATCAGACCAGCCCCGTCCCCCTACCACCCACCTGTTTGATGAACTCTGCCGTCACGTAGAGGGCCAGCATGTCCAGAGAGTCGCGGGCGGCCGGGTCGGAGACCAGCGTCATCAGGTGTGTCAGCGGCAGAAACACGGCCGAGAGCTCGTCACAGTACTCGTCGGGGCAGTCGGAGGAAAGGCGCTCCAGCGATCTCTGTGGACAGATTAGCATGCATCACATCTTACATATCTCAGCCCGGACAGTCGGAGACTGACGCTCCAGCGACTTCTGCAAACGTACAGGAACATATGAGACTGTTAACCCTCGCCGGCCGAGGGGGAGGGGCGGGTGCCGCCCCCCCCCCCCCCCCATAGGGTTTTTTCGCGATAGCTCCGAACACGCTGGCGATAGAGAGCTGAAACTTGGCATACCTGACCTTTGATCCAAGCCGGATCTTTTGACACCAACCGCATTTTTGGGTCAGGTCAGGTCACTGACCTATGACGTCACAAGTGAACCTCTGCACGGTCTTCAGATGTCGCAACTTCGCAACGCCCTCACTGCCAGAGGAGATGTCACAGGGAAATGAAACTTGCAGGATCTAATATCCATTATGAGTCCCACAACTTGTATATCTCGGATTTTTCCTTAAGGTCATATGAGGTCAGGTTATTTTCGTGACCTCACCATTATAAGTCAATGGGGAAAAATGAAAACTGCTATTCTGGCGCCGGGAATGATCTCCAACTATCTCAAGCACACAGAATCGTGATTTTATGCACTCCTTGCAAGGTTAGATGCGTCACTTTTGCAATGTTGACCTTTCGTGACGTCATTTATGACGTCATCAAGGTCATATTAGTTTTTCGTCAATAACTCTTGATCAAATTGAGCTAGCGAGTCGGGAAAGCCACCAATGGACTCAGGAAGGCCTGCCGAATCGAATGATATGCGACATGACCTCTTTCGACCAACTTCGTGACCTTGGGGTGCTGACCTGACCTTGACCTGAGGTCAAACCCCAAGTTGACCTGACCCGGACGAAAAGTATATCATTCGACGCGCCTGAGCGAGGCGAACACGATGCTGCCAAAATCGGCGCTCTGCGGCCGTTTTTTGCGAAGTTATTCACCAAAAACTGAACCGTACCTTGGGGCACTTGACCTGACCTCAGAGGTCACCGGTTGACCTAGGACCTTAAAATCGGGTACCAATCTCTGCGTCTCGTAACGGCGCACACGCTCGTTTTTTCCGCGACGCGCTAGCTCCACCAGGGGCGAAACGGCGAGGGGGGGGGTCGTACCCGCCCCCCCCCCCCCTCGGCCGGCGCGTATGTAGAAAACCAATAGGTCCGGCGAGCGTTAAGTCATGTTTAAACCCAGATATATTAATGATAATAAATCGCTTAGCAGACTGACTCTGGGTGGTAAGTAACTATTTTAGCACTGTACTGCGACCTTTATTGACAGGTCTTCAAAGGGGCAATGAATGACCTTCATTGCTCCTTTGAAGACCTGTCAATAAAGGTCGAAGTACAGGGCTAAAAAGTTTCTTAACACCCAGTCAGTACGCTAAACGTTGTACAGGAACACATTGCATGTCTTACATATCTCCAACAGGGATATCTCAATCAAGATGCCAAGAAGTCAGCGTAGAAGTGACTACCTAAATAGAAACACATCAAACCTTAAAACAACCACCCTTACTAGGACTACTTTTCTCACTTCTCTGAGGCTAGGAAAATACAGCTTTTACACTACCAGCGTTTACCCCGTGTCATTCACTCCAGCTCCACTGACCTTGACCTGTACGGCGATGGCCCGGAGGCAGACGGTGACCCTCGGCGCAGCCAGCAGCAGTGACTCCTCCGGCGTTACCCCGTCCACGGCAGTGGTCCAGAGGGTCATCAGGTCGCCGTAGTACCACACTGAGCGGGCCAGGGGCCGCTGCTCGGCCGGCGCCTGCCCGGCGAGCGGGGCGCGGCCGCTGCTGTACTGGAGCAGCGCGTCGTGCAGCCGCCGCCACTCGTCCTCACAGAGGTACGGCAGGTACTGTGGGGGAGGGGAGAGGGGGAGGTGAGTTGCTACATGCACTGCTAAGAACGGGAAGGGCGAACAACTTCAACAGAGTACAGGGAAAATAATTTGATCAGAATGAAACGAAAAGATTTGCCAGGCAATTCAACGGGAATAACGCGAAACTCACTGATAGCACAGGCAAGAATGAATGAAAAATGGCATAAGAAACCGACTAGTGGGGACATAAAAAAAACATCGGTAACAGTCCAGCTGCGATTAAGGTACAACGGACAACCAGCCCCACGTCAGCTGAAGTCCCTCCCCTTCAAAACCCTCCACGGTCCGTACCGACGCCAGCGTGGCCTTGATGAGCGTGTGCTGGTCGGGGTGCCAGGCGGGCGCCGCCTCCTCGGTCAAACAGAGCAGCAGTGGATCGTGGTCGACCGGCGGCGACTGGCGGAGTAGCAGCCGACTGACGTACTGCTGGGTGACCGGGTGGCAGCGGCGCGAGAGGGCCGACAGCGCGCCCGTGGCGTCTGTGGGGGAAGTCAAGGGGTTAGAGAGGGCCGACAGCGCGCCAGAGGTGTCTGTGAAGACAAAGGGAGGGAAGGGTCACATATCAGATACTGCAGGATGCTGCACAGGACGATTAGGTCAGAGACAAAGATCACAGAGCGCTACCGCAATCAGACGGAGGTCGAGGGCGACCAAAGCTGCCACAGCCTGCATTGCAAGGCCAATAAGTCCAGTGCTACTGATACGACTTTGATGTCGGTTTTTGTTTTGTTCGCGCAGCGTAAGTTGCATTCTGTCCGGAAACGGATGGAGTGGTGTCTGATGCATTTCATTTAAGCTGTCTCACAAGCCCCACTTCTTATACAATATACAGCACGTCCTACCTAGCACCCACCCTCCAGCACCTTACCCAGCTGGTCGACGTCGCCCAGTAGTCTGAAGCAGTGCAGCGCTCTCTGTCTCTGGTCCACGGCCGCCTCTGGCGCCGTCTCCTCAGAGTCCAGGTCCAGAGTCTCGTCCAGTGCGACAGCGGCAAACTGCGCCAGCGGACAGCACCAGGCGGCCGAGCGCGGCGCAGCGCTGCCGAGCAGCTCCTACAGGGAACAGGGCGGGGAGTCATTAATGAAAAAGGGGTACACCCAATGTCCGAAAAAAAAAACAGAATGATTTTGTGCCGGACTCAGCCAGATACCCGTTACGTCCACACCACGCCACACAAGTCATCCACGTTGTGTCAGTTCCTGAATCAGCAAATACAGACACATTACACACTGACACTACACAGTCCCACCTATCTCACCTGCACAAGATGCAGCGTGAGCCGCTTTGGCACTGGCAGGGCGGTGACGCGGCCCGCCAGACGCTCATCCACAGCTGTCAGCTGGCAGCCGACAGCTGCCACCAGCAGCTGCGTCAGCTGCCGGAACGGCTTCAGCTCCGACGTCTCAGACAGCTGGTCCATGATCAGCGCCTCTATAAGTCCTAGCGATGTCTCAGAGGTTCCTTTGGTAGGGTCGGCAGTGGTAGCGGCGTTATCTTTAGTTTTGTCGGTTTCAGCAGTAGCAGCGTTCTCCTTAGGTTTCTCAGCGCCCGTCTCGGCGCGCAGCAGCCGCAGCGGCAGGCGGCGGTTCAGTGCCGGCAGCAGGGCGGCCATTATAGTCGCCTTACCGCCACTCTCTGCGGTCTGTTGTACCAGAGAGTGTAGCAGGGGGCGTGGCGACTGCAGCAGCAGACCGCACACCTGCTCCACAGAGGTCTGGAAGAGCGTACAGACGGATAGTGAGACAGTAGAACGCGTCAATTAATAGGCGCCGAAAACCAAATAACCGAAACTCGCTCATGCCAGCATGGATTTCGACGTAGGGAGAGCAGGACAGAATCTAAACAATTTGACCAGGGTATCTGGTGAGTTAAATTACAGTGTCTGATTAATGCTATGGGATGTGATTGGGCATGTAATGCGATTAAGTGGACGGTCCCTTAGCACCATTTTACCCTTTCTTTGAGCTATTCCCACCCGCCGTTCTCACCTCACTGATGGAGTTCCCGTCGCCGCCTGCCATCTGGGCCGACGCAGTCCTCAGCTCCTGTTCCCAGCAGGAGGTGCGCAGCGCAGGAGCTGTACTCAGCACGTGCTCCACCAGCCGGCGGCGCTGCTCGGCCTCAGCATCCTTCAGCAGCTCAGCGACCAGTACCTGTGAGACGGGAAACGAGCGCGTCAAAAGGAGCTGTCAGATTACAGGACTCGCTACACCTCATAAACGTGATATTTTTGTTAGGTTACCAGCAGCCTGCTCATGGATTTACATCCACTCTAAATCCGGCTTTGATTTTTGAGCTTTGACTAAATGACTTTTTAAAAAGTGTCTTTGACAGCAAAAAAAGAATAACTGATGTTCCGTGAAAAGCTAATGAGACAATATCAACATCTCCAGAATGCAGAAAACTGACCTACTGAAGTGGAGTCTTACCTTGACCACCCTGTCCCGGAGTTCGGAGGGCTGGCCGGCAGACTCTTCCAGCACCGTCAGCAGTCTCCAGAGGTCGTCACTGACGATCAGGTCGGGACAGCTCTCCAGACACCGCACCAACTCCTCGTCAGTCACATCAAACTCATCCAGCAGCGCGCGGAAGTGACGCCGACTCCTGCGACCGCGCTCGGCCACCACGCGCAGCCGCTCCTGACGTGATACAGTCTCCTGGCCGGCGTAAGGACGAACCGTCTCCAGTAGAGCGTCCGTGGCGGCCGGCAGCAGCGCGGCGCGCCCCTCACGGCGGGCGTCCTCCACCAGAGACGTGACGTCATGCAGAGTCTCGGAGAGAGCGGCCTGCACCGTGGCGCCGCCGGTGACCACGGCCGCGTCTCGCTCGGCCCACTCGAGCCACTCGTTGAGCGTCACACGCCGGTAGAGCTCAGTGGCAGCTGAGACGGCCGCCGCGGCCGCTGCGGCCGTGCCGGCGTCCGGAGGCTGCTGGGACTCGAGCAGGTGTTCCAGCAGGACGAGCAGACAGGCGGTGAGCGCCAGCGCCGGCCGGCCGTCGGCGGTGACCGGGGCGGCCACCAGCAGCGTCAGTAGTCTGTCCACGTCGGCGGCCGGCTCGGCAGTCTGCAGACAGGCGGCGAGCAGCGGCGGCACGGCCGGCCACCGGACCGGCTCCCGGCTCACGGCGGCCACCAGGGCGGCGCGCAGCTCGGCCGGACGCTCGGTGAGGCTCAGCCGCCGCAGCAGGGCCGGCTCCAGGCCGACCGGCAGCGCAGACAGGTACAGGGCGGCCGGTAGTCGCGCGCCCTGCAGCTTGGCCAGCACAGACTGGGCGTGTGGACAGCTGGGGTCGAGTGGCACCAGGCCGGAGCTGGCCAACAGCAGGTCATGCAGGCTCTGCACAGAGCTGGTGTCTGCATCTTCCTTGGACAGGCAGCGGCTTACATGGACTGCAAATGGTTCTGCTAATTGAGCTGTAATGAAAAGCACAGCGAATAATGAATATGTTACACTTCATTGACAGTTAAAACACATTTTCAAGCATATTTGAATATATATAGCAAGATACCCTAGACAAGAATAGAAATGGCTGCTATTCAGTTATTAAGTCATTCAATTATGAATTCTACACATCAAAGCATCAACATGATGGAACTTATGTCATTTCACTGAGATTATGTGAAACAACACCTAAGCAAATCAGACAATCAAATTAAGAAAAATGTGTCAGAAGTAAATGTCATTCTCAAGAAATAAATGTCATTGTCAAACATAGTTATGTAAAATGTTGTCATTCAAAATATGCACTTACCAAGATCATCTTTGAAATTTGTTTTATCTTCATTAAGATGCTGGAGGAGGTAGCCCTGAATCTGGGCAAGAAGTGGACAGAAGTCCACATCTAGGTCCATTTTTCAACCTACAAAGAAAGGCATGTGTTTGTAAAATTGCATTGCAGTCAATAGCACTGTTTTAAGTGTTCAGGCACTATGTTATCAGCATGCTGCTGGTTTTTGTCATATTCCATAGATGTAAGCTGGGCCTGCAAGTCTCTCTCAACCTTTAATTGGTGAATAGCAGAGGCATGATATTCAGTATTCACCCATGGGGCTGAGATGTGTAAGCACTTCACCAGATTTGCATCATGCTGGTAAATAAGGTGACTGAATAGGGCTCAGGAGTCAGGAGTGGAGTTACTGATACATATCAAGGTGCTCCTTTCTTTTGAGCAGAAACGGACAAATCCTTACCCAAGAGGATCCTGAATCCTGATTAGTGATTCTGATCCTTGATCACTAAAATGTTAACCCTCGCACGACCAGGCCATTTCTCATAACACGAACGACCGGGGGGGGGTTTACGACCCCCCCCCCCTGGCGTTTCGAAACGGAAGGTCGTAGAGCTTAGCGGAAAAAACCAACGGATTGCTCTCAACGAGATCTCGCGATTGGTGGTATATTTTTTGGTCCTAGGTCAACATTTGACCTACTTATGACCGGTCAAAGGTCAAATTTTCCGAAAAAAATCAAACTTTTTCAACTTTGCGCAACGATTGCGGCAAAACGGTGGGAGATATCGACTTGAAACCTTCACTATCGTGTTCCTTGATCAATTCTCTATCGTTTGGTATGTATTTCGTTTCCCTAGCTCTAAAAATGGCGCGTTGGGAGCGCCGGAAGTCGGCAAGGTCACAGTCGGCGGCAGAAATTCGAAAAATTAAAAATTTAAATTTTTGAAATCTGATTGTATTTTTGGATTTGGGAGGTCCATTGCTCCCTATAGAAGCTAATATTGCTGCATATTCCCATTGAGGTGACAAGAATTAGCAAAATAGTGGTTCGGGCGCTTTTCAAAAATAGTACCGGACGCTGTTCCTCTTGTGACGTCATAGCTCCGTGACCTGACCTGACCCGGTCAATTTTCTTGCACCACACGATAGCCAATGCTTGCCCCAACATGCATGGGAAGTTTCATCATGATCCATCAAACAATGTGGGTATCACCGGCAGAAAACCTAGGGATTCGGCGCACACGTTTGGTAGGTAACTGTCGGCCGGAGGCTGTACCTCTTATGACGTCATAACTCCGTGACCTGACATGACCCGATCAATTTTTTTCGGCAAAAGATGTGCAAAGGTTGCCCGAGAGGGTATTGAAAATTTCAGCCCGCTACGACAAGCCGTTTAGCGTGCACTTCGAAAAAACCTCAGGGGGGGGGGTTGATACAACCCCCCCCCCCCTAGGCGTTCTAGGGTTAAGATACATTCAATTATATGGTACCTTATATCTATCTTATCACTTATGCTATGACTTCAGTATTTGGCACTTGGCAGTTTCATTTAGATATGACACACTTCAGACATATTGCACATAAACATTGAAATGGTGTTGTTAGTGCGATTTCACTCTTTGTAATATGCCTGGTATAATTGTGATATAGCAGAATAAATTGCCCATTCAGTATTTTCATGATGGTCTCCATGTTACTTGCAAATCAATGCATAAAGAACTAGATTCACACCAAAGGAAATCAGTAGGTGGAACTATGGTCATGAGTACCCAAATATAGGAACGTTCCCATTTTTGGGAACGGAGTTCCCAAATATGGGAACGGGCGTTCCCATTTATGGGAACGGAAGGTAATTTTTCGGCCGTTCGCCCACTAAAACTCATTAGTGCATCACGTCTCAAAAAAGTGCACGCTAATTTAAGTATCTACTAAGTCTCTATAAAATTATCTTTAATCTGACCGTTGCACAAGGAAATTGACCGTCGAATGATATTTTTAATGATTTTTTGAAATGACGGAATGGTGAAAACATGGGTTATACTACATTTAACTTGCAATTTTAAGGAAAATGAAGTGTTTTTTACATTTTGAGGTCAAGTATAATAATTTTCGCCTGGTTATGAAGTTTCATACTAGCGACACCAGATGCTGACATATGCAAGCGAACACGCGGACAGTCCGGGGTAGGGTAGACCGGGGCAAGTCGCCCCGCCGAGGTAAAACGCCTCACCGATGTTTCTCGGAACTGGCAGAGTTCTGGGGGAACATCATCTCTTCTATAAAACGTGCACTATATGATCATTATATGAGCAGACTGGAAAGAAATTGTGACGACTCTTTCGGCAGATATAGCCAAAAATGTGTTTTTTGAGTGATTTTTATGTTTTGTCATCAGATTATGTATCATGGCGTTCTTTTATGGTCCACATCAGGTTAACGACTTTTATGTATTTTGAACAACTATTGTCTAACGCTTATCATGCCGGGTTGGTTCGTGTTAAATTATGTCTTGCTGGAGTGCAAGGCGTTGTTCTCTGACCGAACTACGTGATGGGGTAAAACGCCCCAGTAGGTCGCGGGGCAAAAAGCCCCTGGGGCGTTTTACCTCATGTGTTGTTCGGGCTACCCACTTTCTAATGTTCGGTAGCTGGCGAACAGTAAATTTCTATGTCTTCATGTGTATTTTTCTCAGCAACTGGATGGCAAAGGAAGTATTGGTTAACATTTGCATTGCAATAATTTATTATTTGGTCTTATGAGGTAGGTGAAAAACCTGCTCATACAATAGTGTCATAGCTGAACACCTGACAGGATGGAATGTGCTAACTTCAGTGCCGTTCCTCCAGAGGTCTAACGGACCTCTCACATAAGATTTAGCCAACTACCATGTTGAATCTTTAATCTTAAGTATGGGGCTACTTGCCCCAGGCCGTGGGGCGTTTTGCCCTGGGGTTGGGGCAAAATGCCCCATTTGCAGTTGCTTCACAAATCACTTCCTAGCTTGGAGTCCGATCATAAGTGAATGAATTTGAGGGGTGCAATTTAAAGTAAAATGTCCAAAACGCATTGAGCACAAATTTGGCCTCCCAGGTGATGTGGGACAAAATTTATGTAGCAAAATAAATTATCTGGGGCGTCTTGCCCCAGGCTACCCTAATATTGGTGACATTTGGTGTCGGGGCGCACGACCGCATGGAACGTCAGTGATTTTACCGAACTACTGTTGTAAACTCAGTTTCAGTGGTTTAAAATTATTCAGCTGTATTTTATCATCCCAGAAAGACATATTTTATTTGGATGCTAGCTGTTTAGAGTTGTTTATAAGGAGCGTCATGGGCGTGGTTTTTGTCTTCCGTGTTTCTAAGCGTGATCGTTTTGGGGGAATTTCTCTTATATAGGTCGCTCTGTGTGGCTTATTTATAACTTTTATGCTGATTTCGATCATTCCTCATGCCCATCCTACCAGGCCTTTTGCCACTTACACTCATCAAGAAAGGAAAAAAGATTTTCATTGGGACTAGGTGTTTTGAGGGTGTAACATATTCAGCGTTCCCATTTTTTGGATACTTCCTTGTGCTCGTCAACTATCGGTGATAAACAGACAGGTGCTTGACATGTCTCCACCCTCGGCGCGGACGGTGGATATAGGTATGGAAGACCTTGTTGAACATCGCTGAGCGTTGTGAATTACGTAATTCTGCAGAGGGGGGCGTGCCCGCTGCGAGATCGACGGGAATAAAAGCGCAGAAGACCGGGCGAAACATGCGACGGTCTTGCCGGAAAGGTCATCTGATGATTGTTGCGTTAACAATAATTTGCGGCGTTGGACGTGATGCTTGTTCATGAAAAGAGCCCCTGAAAGGCGTCGGTGAAATCGTTCCCAATTTTGGGTACGCCGTTCCCATAATAAGGAACGCTTGCAGCGCCAGTGTACGAGAGCGTTCCCAAATTTGGGCTCGCGGCCCGGATGATGGACTGCTTTAGAAATAGGGGAACGATTTGAAACTACGATGGGCCTTACAATATCAAACTCTTTCCCAACAATATTGAGACAAATATCAGGCGGTTCACGATCGTTTTATATTTTTGGACGTCATTTAACGGTTCTTTTTCTTGTTTTAAATAATGCCTACATGGCGTTCCCATATTTGGGTTTATTGTTCCCAAACATGGGAACGATAATGCGTTCCCGAAAATGGGTACGCTTGACCATAGTTCCGCCTACTGAAATGTGTCTATTAGTAAGTAAAGGTCTGAACCACCACTACTCACTTGCCAACCCTTTCTAACAACTGGATAAAATCAGCTGGCGACGTATGATAGCTATGTTATTTATTGACATAAACACGGTAGGAGATGGACATGAACACGTAGGTAAAATGGCATTTATAGAAAAATTAAAAGATGGATATTTAAGAATTAGCTACCTACCTAAGTATTTGAAAATGCTGAACATGAATTTCCAGCAACAGAAACAATAAAGATAAACTTAAACATTGATGCTTAGAGGAAGCTGCACTAATATGTACAGACAATTATGCAAATTTTATTTGAAAAATCGAATGCAACATTCATATCAACGAGCCATATCATCACCAAAACCATTTGAGTCAAGCTGAAGTTTGGATGTTTTTACCTTGCAAGGATGTAGATTTTTCCAAACAGCCAATATTGATATCAATGTCTAGTTTTCACAGCAATGAGTCGTAATTCATTGCAATGAATGAATCAAACACGAATCAAAGTTAAACTCGTACTTTTGTGATTTTTGGCAGTGAAAGTCAGCTAATACAGCAAGGGCGATATTTCTTTTAAAAACATACACTTTTCAGCCTTACGGGTCATTTGCTTTTCTTGTCGCAAGCACGCAGTATTTGTAATCATCACAAGGTCAAATTCTCCCGACCATTACACCCCACAACAAGGCCCCGCCGGGGGGCTGGAGCCTAGAAGGTCTTATACCTTGTGTCAGTGCGATGAAAGCTTCCCGGCTCCATTACACTGACACCAGCTCACAAGTGTTCATGTCTATTATGTATTGTTAATAAAAGTCATTCCCACTGTTGTGTTTGCGACTCCAGACATCTCGGCTCTTTGGCTATACACGTAAGTACCTCCCTTAGCTTTGATTCCACATTAAGATAGGATCCCACGTTGTTTTTGCTACCGGGTTCACATAAACCGGTTTAACGTAAGACTTGCTGCCCGGCGAAAATTGCCGGAGTAACTGCCCCCTGCTCGGGTATGGCACTAGGCCGACCGAGCAAAAAAAAAAAAAAAAAAAAAAAAAGCTTTGAGAACGGAAAGGGACACCAGCACTAAAATAAAAATTGCGCTAGCTGACGTTATTTCTCATGCCTCCGCCAGAGAAAATCCTAGAAAACTTAGGCTTTATCTTTGAAATATTTGAATTACTATCAATTGTGTGACTATTCCGAGCGTTAAGAGGAAAAGAGCACCACATGCTGATCATACGCAAATAAAGAGTACTTAATATTTAGGCAATTACCAGCTTATCGAATATTTATGCATAGTTATTGGACAATCAGGAGACTGCACGTGCGTGCACGTGCTAGTGGACCAGTCTTGAGAAGGTCATCGACGCGGAGGGTGGTCAATGGTCATATGGGATGAATAGTAGGCAAAAGGTGACCGATTGATGGCATACTGTTAAAATAGTGCTTAGAGCTGTATATACCTATTTTTCGATTTATGACTAATTAAACACGTTTGATATTTATTCCCGATTATGCTCCCCACCCTCAACCCTGCATATTTAAATTCACCGAGTGTACTGTCGATACTTTTTACACGATAAGCTGTTTAGCGAGAAAGAGTTCATACTAAAACACCAAGGTGCTGTCTGAAAGCTAAGCCTGAACTTCATTTGGGAAGGTTCGAGGCAAACTTAGGGCGGGTTTCTGGGAGTCATGACCTCCTCAATCCGTCCCATCCCGGCCCCACCCACACACCAGAGCTTTTCATTCAGTTTTTATCCGGGGCTTGTCACGCATCTTCAAGTTTTTAGCACTCAGATGCCGAACGGTTGCACGCGGCACTGGACGGTGACCCGATCACTGCACCGTTCAGGCGATCCAAGTCTTCGGTGGACGGCTGAGTGGCACGTGCAGACGACCCGACCGTGAGGACACCTCCTTCTTCCCCAAATGCAGCCGCGCCGCCGTGCCAATGCAATATGAGAAGGGCGAGAGCTGACAGGGAATGGACGCTGAGACTCGGGTCGACTTTGTGGGCGTTGTTTCGATCGTAAACATCGGTGCGAGGGACGGGGGGGGCGGAGTACGTAAGGCGTTATTGGTAGTTACATATGCATAGAAAAAGGTTTTATGCCTGCTCCTGGACCACAAGCGACGCACCGCGGTGTTCAAAAGGGCGTTAAAAGTTATGGGAAAAGTAAATTATTATTATGAATGATTTCATTTTTATTTTATTTTATTTTATTTTATTTTTTTATTTTATTTTATTTTATTTTATTTTATTTTATTTTATTTATTCATTTTTTTGGCGCACGGTGATATATCAGATCCCATCACCACGGCATTGATTCTATTCGACATCGCGTTTCTCTCGTCGAGACGCGTCCAATACAGGTGAACTGCATTTCAATCTTAAAAGGCCAGCTGTAAAGTTTGACCTAAGGTCAAATGCATGACTTGGTCACGATGCATATGTATTTCAAGTGAATTGACCCGTGACCCGTGCCGTTCAACACATTCAAAGCATTTGCATCGCTTTAGTATGCAGCTGTTCGAAGCTTAGTTCGAAGTATTGTAAAATGACTGCTGGTGACCTTTCAATTCATGACCCAGCTTGGGTCACCCAAGATGACCTCAGGACAATTCTCGGCATCATAAGGTATCTGAAACCTGCGCCGAAAACCACGTGCCTCACACGTTAGCTCGTTGATTGGTCGTCTCTCGGCAGCGGCGGCGTTTCAGCCAATGAGCGCCGGGCCCGCCGGCCGCCGCCGCGGGCGCTCGGCGTTTTATTTACGCCCGCCACTCGGTGCTCGGAACGGCGGCCGAGCGGTCTGTGTGCTGTGTGTGAGTGGTCGCGGCGTGCTCAACTGTTCGTCACCGGGCTATGGATGGGTTTGTGAGTCTGGCCAAAAACGAGCAGTTCAAGAGCAACATTTTTAACGGTTTTTCGAGGGATACTGTAGGAAGCTCGCGGGACTGCGGCCTTGTCGATTCGTGCTCGCCGTACTATCGGTCCTACCTGCGCGCCGTCCGGTGGCTGGCGGAGCAGTGCGAGTCGTTCTACGGAGATAGCCAGTGCAGCGGTGTGGACAACTTCATCAAGGACATTATGTTTGGCAAAATTTCTCCAAACAACGAAGATTACGTTGTGCTAAATTCACATCTCCCTCCGAACGAGCGAAACGGCGCTGGACCCGGCATTTGGCTTGAAGAGAAAACGGCCCGTTTAGTCCGCGAGGTTCAACGTGACTATGATTTGAGGAATGATTCAAAGTACTTTGGACAATTTACAGCACCTTGTGGTCGCAACTTGGATGAGATTCGCAACCAGTTTTACGTTGACTGTTACTCCGAGTGTGTTCAGCCGCAAGGCTCACGTATGAAAGCAAACACGACCGAATGCGTACCGGTGCCTTCTTCTGAACACGTGGCCGAAATCGTCGGGAAAAAGGGTGAGTAACGATTCATTTTTTGTTTGACCTCGTCTGTTCGTCGGTCGCTGTTGTGTGTGCCGCTGTGCTGTGCCGTATCAGTCTTTGGAAGGAGTAAAAACGATGTTAGTTGTCGGACTTTCGTCCCCGTCTTGAGTTGAGATGTTAGTTTCACAACGTTTCGGCCAGTTACTTCTCCGGCCGTCGTCAGGTTTTCTTTGGCCCTTAGAAGGACCTGGATGTTGGTGGCGTTGCGCCGTACGCGTCATACCGTTCGAAAGCTCCTGTAGTCAGCGGGAATCGAACTCGGGTTTCCCCGGTGATAGTCCACGGTTCTAACCACTCCACTGTCGAGGCAGACAGTGGAGTGGTAACCACTCCACTGTCTGCCTCGACAGTGGAGTGGTTAGAACCGTGGACTATCACCGGGGAAACCCGAGTTCGATTCCCGCTGACTACAGGAGCTTTCGAACGGTATGACGCGTACGGCGCAACGCCACCAACATCCAGGTCCTTCTAAGGGCCAAAGAACACCTGACGACGGCCGGAGAAGTAACTGGCCGAAACGTTGTGAAACTAACATCTCAACTCAAGACGGGGACGAAAGTCCGACAACTAACATCAGTGATACTAACACCTCGTCTCAAGCATTCAGAAGAACTATAGAGTAAAAACGACTTCTGCGTTCACGTCTTCTCACATCACTTCTGTTCTGCGCTCCCGTCTTCTCCTATCACTAACAGCACGGTATCCGGCGCAATCTTAAACTCAGTTGCGATCGTCAACCCACTTGAGAGTCGAGAGGCTCAGCGTGGTCACTCAGAGGTGACCTCGTACCACGTGACTATCGGGGACCCGGAATGCCTCCAGGCCACATACCTACATTCTAAACGGCTGTCGGCTACCGCTTTCTTCTTACGGGGTGCGGGTCAGGGTTAGTAAAGGGGGTGATGAATGCTTATTTTAATATTTTCTGTTTCCGTCCCTGTTTCCTCTTTCAAAATTGGTAGAAATTATTCTCAATCCCTGATCACTAGCTTGTTCGGCGATAATTATTTATTTTATGCAAACTCATTAATTCGGTATACCTACACTTGAGGTTGGAGCCGTAGCCCGTAAGCAAGCTGTATGGATGCCAAATAGACATGAGCTATTTCCACCACTTTGTAACAGGCTGGTGCTGTTTTAAATGTTGTGGTGGCATGCTTCTTAACCTTTGTACAGTCGCGGGCATAGTCCCACTTGACTTGGTGATCGTGGTCGGTCGCACGGATTGGTATCTCAGTTTTCATACAGGCCATTACAGGATACAGGAAGACCGACGTCCCGTCGTTCTTCTCTTATCGGTGTTATTTTGGGTCGGGTCCTGTGACCGTTTATCGCAGACCGACTCGGGGTCCAGAGTTTCTCGGTCGTCGCGGTCAGATACGGATTGATACGGCCGGGATATCCGTCCGGGTCCGCCAGCCGGCCCTCCCGCCTCCCGGCCCAGTCCGGCAGTTCCTGTGTCACTGTCCGTGGTGCCTCCCGGCCAGCCACTTTGACCGGTCCCCGGCGGCGTGACCCGGACTATAATGCCGCCGAATCCCCACCGAGTCATCACGGTAATGGGAGACGATCAGCGGGTCCCGGGCGGCCGGCCAGGTGCGGGCCGCCGCCCCCGCCCCCGCCTGGTGGTGCGCAGTCTCACGTTCACGCCATGTGGCCGCGGCCGGCCGCCCAGACACCGCACTGGGTTGCCCTTGAACCCTATCGCACCGCGGGCGCCGGACGCCGGACGGCGAGTACCGTCTGGGCTCCGGGCGCCGCGGGGAGGTGCGTGAGACAGAGACAGAGACAGAGACGGGAAGGGGGAGGGAGAGGGCCGGCGACCCGGCACTTGGCGGCCCAGTCCGGATAGCTCGGCCGGTCTGTGTTAGCAGCGGTCGGGGGTGGATCAAAGGATCAGCGCTCAGCGGCCTTGATCTGACTCGAGTGAACTGTAGTGTGACCGCAATTTCTCTGATTGATGAGCTCGCTTTGAGGTACAAATTGAATCCTAGGTTATGGACGGTATGCGTAAGTTTTCTATGCGCATTGTGCAATGGGCAATGTGTTATAAAAATAGATAATCACTAACACTTCATAGAACAGTTACTGCATGACTGCGCACCTATTGCAGGTTTTTTGCTTTAGTTTTAATCCCACCTTGTTTTTACGATTGAGCTCTTACATGTTTGTTGCATCATGCTGAATGTAAATTATCGGGTCATTTGGATAGAGGACGATGGATCCTATTGGTCATTGGGATCTTCCTAATCAGCATAAAAACGTTCACAGTAACTATATAGTAAGGCGTGCACCGTGGATGTTGGAAATAGGCTTTGCCAGTAGCAATAATGCCAGTAGTGCATCGTCTAGGTGAATATAGCTAATGTTATTTCATCGCTTTAGCATGTTTCTATCAAAAGTTATTGTCGAAAAACTGCTGGAGACTAATACCTGCCACGACCTCAGGGGTATAGGATAGAGAGGGGTCACGGGTGCAATTTTCCAATTAGTCATTCAGTGTTCACCTGTCACCCTATGTGTGACAATGGTAAGTGTGACGTTCGTTTAAATGAGGTGCAGTTCAATTATATCCCATTGATTTATTATGGATGTCGCGAAATTGACCTGACCTTAGGTAACCAATATGAAATGTCAGAGACATACGTTTTTTTTTTTTTTTTACTAAATATACATGTCTTTACCCTCCAATCGCTGAAAGGTTCAAAGCGATTCGGCGCATAGCCGTATAGGCTTTAGCTATAGCGAGCATGATAACTTTTCATGAGATAAGGTCCTAGTGATGACGTGACCTGGTGACCTGACCTTGAACGACTTTGGGTCTGAAACTTTATTGATATGTACTAGAGTTGCAAAGTTTTCCCCAAAGGCTGCTACCGGCACCGCCCCGCCCCACAAAAATTTTCTGGGATACCGGCATGCTACCACGCCCCAAGCAAAAAAAACCGCCAAATTACCGGCATACTAAAAAACCTGCATTCTTGATTCTAGCTTACCCCTGGAAGAGTGCCACATTTTGGCAGTTTCAGTACCCCTCCCACCCAACAGCCATCCATTGTCCAACCACCAATACCAGCAGGCTGATTTTGGCTAAGTTGGCCCCACAAATACCCACAATTTTGAAACTCAATTCCAGTCTAAAGCTGTTAAAATATCACCTGTAATCAAAGAAGTATTGCCTACAAAAAAAACTATTACATTCATCAAAAAGGTGAGGACAAAAAGGACTTGAAGTACTGAAATGTGTTTTTGAAGACTGGACAGTGAGCAGTAATCACATTTACATTTCACAGGTGTTCTACTTTTCCATATTCTCCTAAAATGTTGCAGGCACCAGCCAAATGTTTAAAATCTAGATGGTCAAAACATAGGTAAACAAGTACAGATTCGGCCATCTGCCTTACTGAGGAAGCGAGATCAACATATACTTTTTCCTATCCACTATGGCTTGCTGGTTCGTGAATAAGATACGAATCATGTAAAAAATGTGTTAATAACTCACTGGTCCTGAGAATAGTCACCAAATAATATGTATAAAAACGATATCTTCCATCCTCTCCAACCTCAAGCGGGAACAAACACAAGGTTATCGATTTCGAAACAGATGCGCCATAACAGAGACTTTTCACCAGCTGATTAAAACGCTGCAAAAAAAAAAAAATGTTTAAAGGGACACTCCCACCTTAACATTAGTTTTGAGTTGAGATAGCCAAATTGGTGGCCATGGCCTGCAAATACCGGTTTGGGCACTCACAACATCGACAAATGCTTTAATTCGGAGATATGGAATTTCAAACTTGCAGTTTTCGGATTCTAAGGGCTAGTGCATTGGTATGCCCCCTTAGAATTTGTGACGTCAGCGGAGATCTAACGATTTTTAAATCTTTTACTAAAACGTTTGGTAGCACGCGGTGGTATATGCTGCTGCATATTTACGTCTGGACAACGAGTTGCGGGGAAAAGTGCTGATTTTGCCGCAGTTTTAGGAGCCGGTTATTAGGCTGGATTTTTGGGTTACTTTTTCGTTCCGATTCCTGTATTTCATAGTGTTTGGCTCTTGAATATTTTAGTTCTTTCAGAAAAATATTAATTGCCATACAGATTTTGTAAAAATGTTTCATTTTTTTATAAGCCGACCGCTAGAGTCCTAAAACAATACATCAGCACTACAATTATTGTAAACAAACAAATGGAGCACCACTTGGCTCCGTTCTGCTCCGTTCCAAGGCATTTTTCAAGTTTATCTGGTGATTTTCGAACTCTAGTATGTCGTTTTGTTGGAAGTTTTGAATCCCTTGTGACTGAATTATATCATATTAAAGAAGCATGTTGACTGAAAACAATCCCAAGTTGAAGTTGAAGTATACAGGAGACTAAAGAGTCCTGAGTCCTGAGTAATATCAGGTTGAAGCTAGGAAATGTTGGTTGATAAACGCAAGTTGATCTGGCTCACTTATCAGCAAGAAAAAAAGTAAAATTAAAAGAGCTTATTGGCCGAAAACAAGCTATAATAGGTATTGCAGGAGATCAATACTGAAGAGCACGCGCAGTATCAAGCCAGTAAATGTTGGCTGATGAACGCGTATTGATGTATTGGTATGAATATTGAAAGGATGGTAATTTTCTCAGCACTAAAAACCGGTCATTTTGTGGTATTTTCGGCAAAGCTAGGCATCTCCAGTTAATTTGAGGTATAACAGGGTCATTTAGCACCTAACCAGTTATAACACCTATTTAAGGGACTTAAGCACTACTTTTAGTCTAATTCGCAGTACTTTTAGTTTGAATGGCACCTAATGGTAGTCATTTCGCACTATTTTTGGTAGATGTTTAGGCATCCCTACTAAATCTAGAAAGATTTTAGTATATTATGGAGAAATAAACTACAATACTAGTCTGTACTAGCTACAGATTGCTTGTTGCCAGGTCGATTAGCGTCTGTTTCGGCGCATGCGTTTTGAGAGGACCGATAGGACGCAAGGCGCGCTTCTTGGACGGATTTGGCAAGGAATTTGGATAGATTGATTTACGTACAGCCTCAGCGTGTGCCGATCATCCTGCCTTTTCTTGTCCAAGAGTGAACTGAGCGAGGTTCTTAGCATGGAGATTGGAGAGTGATGACGATTTCCGCGAGGATGTTGGGTCCTACCGTCCGCCCAAGCGTACTGGTCCGCCAGTGCTGCTGTCTTTATCCTGTCAGGTTATCTAACGGCGCTATGGGCATGTAGATTGTAGCAGCTGTAGGTACAGCATTGCAGTAGCAAATGCTTATAATGTGCGGTGGCATTTTCCCATGCTTAGTAGGAAGCGCTCGACGTCCCTTCCGTACGTGTCGTGGAAGGGACGTGTCTGTCATTGACGCACATCAACTAGATGGATCTTGATTGTAGCATTTCGCAGCAGCGTTTTATCGTTCAGCGGCCTAACGCCTAGCCAGCTCTCATTTCGAGGGGTGGTACTTTGCTGAGGAGCATGAGTGGTCACGCTGCATCGTGAGCCAGATGAAGCCGGTGGGCAGACCGTGTACCGTACATTTGCGTACAGTACATGATTTTGTCCCACGAACCTAACCGATGCGCATTTTTGTCCACAAATTTACCTAATATATACCCAGCATGCCTATTAGTCGTTAGGGGGCAGCACCGGGCGTGGTGTATTGCGTAGAGGGCAGGACCTATGCAACAAAACTTGCTCCAATTCAGTTTTCATCGTGGAAGTAATACGCTGAATGGAGAATCATACTTTGATGTCTAACTTACGTACAACATAAAAAATAAATACCTCAAGGCTCAAGAATACTGTGGTCATAGCAGTAGCTCGTGCTCGGCAGTGAAATCATGAATAGTGCTCACATACCGGATTTAGTGCAAAATGAGCTACGACACACCCATTTATTATGCCAGATCTGGCATCGCCTCTATACTAACTAAAATAGTGCAGAATGACCGGATATACCTGTGTTTGACAGGAATTGCCTGCGAAAAGACGATAGTGCAAACTGAACTTATGATAGTGCAAAATAACTGAAATTTAGGTACTGAAAAAATTATCCCCCATATTGAAATATAACTTACAGCAGCAAGATCAATGAGTGCTAACTATCAAGTGAAAAATTCTAGAATGAACGAACCCAGGCAGCTTTACTTTGCTATGCAGATCCAGATGGTAATGTGCATTAGGTACTCAGTGTCTGGCAAATGAAACATGCGATCATTCTATTGCTACTGGAGAAGAAAGCTTGGATCACTAAATCAGCTTAATGTTTAATTTGATGTTCATCATTACTTTGCATTTCTTGAAAAAAGGATTTAAGTAAAATTGTCAATGTGAAAATCCATGCAATGATGTGATCATGTCATGTGTTCATAGTCATTCGTGATGGTGATTATTGGTCTAATATACACAAGCAAAGCTGTCAGCATTTCTTTCTGTGGATGGCCAGAAGGGACTCAGAACTTAGAAGTATTAAGTTTTCACAGGGCTGGGATAAAAAGTACTGAGGGACTGAGGGTAATCTTCCAGAAAGGAACTTTATTTTGACTTGGTATGAGATGTAGGCACAATTTAGGTAGGTGCTCAGTAGTTTAGTAGTTATGTAGGTATAGTTGGGTTAGCTAAGATTAGGTCATGCTAGTTTTTTTTTCTAATTTGCCAAGTGTTCATAAAAAATGTGACCTGATCAATTCATACCTGACTAACCTGACCTAACCTCAATCATCACACTTATTTGCAACTTACCCAAGACCTGCATAGCATTAGCACCCAGTTACAGGTACTAGGTACTCAGTACTCACCCTAACTCAATCTTACCTGCTAACCTTCAACTTGACAACAGTTAGCTCACCTTGCCAAACCACATCCAGGGTAACAGCAGCCAAATGAGGAACTGGCTCATTGGGTGGCTGGTGCGAGTCTGTGCATTTTAAGTGTTTCTTCTCTGAAGCTGCTCTGCACTGCTGTATGCCATGTTTGACGCTCAGAAAAATGTGGAAAATGATTACTAAGCTAGTTTAATGCTTTGTTCCTGCTCGAGACATCAATAAGTACAAATCCTGCGGGGTACAGCTATGAGATGAGCTAGGTGAGTAAATTATTTGAATATGCTGTTTGACTGTAGTAAATATACAAACAATCACAGGGTCACAGTTAGGTATATTCAATTTCCGCATAAACATTCAACAAAACGCCCATAGCCTCACTCCGAGCACACAACAAATAACTTAAGCCTTTGCAGGCACAAAAATACTTTGATTTACAGGATGGGTATACAATATATCCTCTGTCCTTGGGGATCTTGCTGCAAAGTTTGAGTTGAAGTAAGATGACTGAACTTCAGGACAAGGTATGATTAACTTTTTCTTCCTAGCCACTGCTTATGTATGAGAAAGACTAAATGCTTGGTTAATCAACGCCTTGAAAATTTAATGATCCATCTTCAATTCGACATGAAGCCACAAATAAAATAGTTCCCACTTCTCTCTCCTCTTGGAATACACAAACCAAAATATTTAATAACTTCTTCTTAGTGTGAGTGGAGGGACATGGACAAGAGCAATTATCATAGCTCCCCTTCAAGTTAACCTCTGGCAGTTGGCACTGATCACACGGACACCTCTGATTGATCCAAGATAAAATTGAAATGTGTAAAACTGTCTAGTCAATCATGGAAGGAACGGATGAACTTGAGGTCAATATGATATTTTGCGATATACATCAACGTTACCTTGGAACTTTTTTGCAGGTTCGCTTCATATTTTGTAACAAACGCGCAAAAACTGCAATAAAACAGCACTATATGCTTCTGGACAAAATACAATGACAGTAAAAAATAAGCCCTGATGGTATTCATTCTCGACCAAAATCCAATTACAAAATATTTTGTAGTAAGAACTAAATTTCGGCTAAAAACCGTGCACGTTTAAAAAAGAATCATTCCAATGACGGTCCATTATTGCGGTCCTGAAATCGCCACTATTTCCGGCCTCTCCAACGCAACTCGTTGTCCAGACGTAAATATGCTATGCTGCTTTGCGCGCAACAAATGCCGCACTTTCAAATAAAGTCGCTAGGAACAGCGGAGATCCCAAAAAGTAAACAAAAGTAAAAGTCTAATATCTTGAAAACCGGTGAATATTTTTCGATGAAATTTGGTAGATATTCGTTTTCGCTCTTTCTGAACCGAGCGACATCACTTTCGTGCCAATTCATTAACTTTTTTGAAGGTGGGAGGGTCCCTTTAACGACTGCAAGCCACTGCCTCGTGAATGATTATATTAATAAAAATTATCCAACCAATATTATATTATAATGAAATCGACATTGTAGTGTAATTCACTACAAAGAAATTTATTTCTCTTCAGTTATTCAACCAAAAAGGTAAATGAATAAATATTACGTCATCAGATTACATCCATTCATTAGGGGAGAGAGAATCTTAAAAGTAAATCCTTGGTTGTCTAATTGTTTGCGCCACTTTATGTCAATTTTGCGTGCATGATGTGTTTTCTTGTAAAGATAAGACAAAATGCCAGTTCAAATCCATTTTCATTTAATTATGGGACCAAAGTCAGGCTTAGGGCTACCTAACACCTGCCTTTTCAGTTGGATTTTCAGTGTCAAATTCTTTGTAGAGTTTCTCAGACCACATTTCAGGATCTCAGGACTCAAGGCCAGTTTCCAAACATTGTGTTTTTTTGGTGTTGTGATTCTGCCTATTCCCCTAGGGAATGTTGTCATGAAAATTTATTTTATTTTATTGTGATATACGTATTACCTACCATTAGGCATTAGACTTACTAGTTTATCATGCTTTTGCAACATGAATGAGTATTCTTCCTTTTATAGACCACAATAGATTCTTGACAATTCTAATTATAACCAAGCCTGTGAATTGTGTGAAATGCTGAGGTCCATGTGCGCCTACACTTAGCAATGGAACTTCTCCCACAAAATGTATCTTTCAGTGGCTAATATTGCTGTTACTACAATTTGAGAGCCTCTTAGTGTCCAAAGTTTGAATCATTTGCTGATATTTTTTTTTGCACAAAATCAAAAATACCGGCATGCTACCGGCAAGACATGCCAGATACCACGAATAAACCTGCGGTAGTGAAAAATTACCGGCATGCCGGTAGTGCGGTAGGGAAATTTTGCAACTCTAATATGTACCCTGTTGACACGTCGATGTAGCGTGGTCTAAGATAGCGCCATTCGTGTGCAATGCTGACCCTTTTCAGTAGCTAAGCGTGTAGCCTGTCGCCAATCGACGATCGAATTACGGCGAGTGTTACGTTTGTCACCAATTATCGAACGGGCCTTGGCAGCTACCTCGCATTCATTTTAGCACGAATCGACCACTAACGTACCTCAGACTCCACTTTTTTGCACACCCTGGTTTTGGAGATGGTGTTAGCACGGGGTTGGTGCAGCCGTTTGTTATGAAATGTCGAGCATTAGCCCATTTTTCCGACGGGGAAGAGCCGAGCGGACGCTAGGTAAAACAGCCTCCAACAAAGTGGTTTCGTCATTGTCACGTCTCACGGGACCCTGAATTTCTTGCTTTGGGTGGCAAATGTTCAGTGTATAATGCGTCTCGCATCCGTTTCTATTTTTGGGTGATATTTTTTGACATGGGAAAATACTGCGCATTTTTCGATACCAACTGGCACATTGAATCGTCCAGTTTTACTAAATGTGGGTACAACTCAGGTATTTGCTCGTCCCTACAGTGCATTCAAATGCCATTACCTATCCATTCTAATCCGTTACCAATCCTTCGGCTCATCCTAGATTACTTCACGTCTCTTACACAACTATTATCGACGATGTGTTATCGCAGCGGACGATGCCGTTTGCTATTTCAGGTTTGTGCTGCTGTGATAGCCACTCGTGGGAGCTTTACTCACGCTGGTTATGTTTTTACAACCTTTCTCTCGTCGCAGGTGGGAAGATCAAGAACATTCGTGCCGAAACGAACACCTACATCAAAACGCCGAAACGAGACGAAGAGCCGGTGTTCGTAATCACAGGTAAGTCAGCATGACCCTGCCCTATAGGTCATTACCGGTCAGTCTTGAGCAGTGTGCACTCGGGGTCGCTATAATGTAGACGTAGGTAAGTCACAAAAAGCTCAATCATATATGCGGGTTCATTACCTATCTGTTCAGGTTTGAACAATTTTTCAATCAGTTGTTTGCTGCTCATCGGTCACATGTCGTGAATCCTCACGTCAGCGCGATGACTTGGGTAGCGTTGTATCGAGTCTTATCATATTATTAATTATTTTAGTCAATGTGCAGCGCCAAAGGTCAGTTTTGGCGCCTGGATCGTCATGCTTTCACTGGTTAGTTGTCATGGCATATGATTTAACCCGCGCAGGGCCGGGGGTTAGGGCCGGAGAACCTGACCTTTGCAGTTTTGCTATCTCTCCATTAGGCATAGGTCGATGGGAGAAAATTGAAAGGCGCCTTTTTTGGACAAACCTCATTCTAAACATTCAAACATCGTGAATCGTGATACAGGTAAAATTGACACCACCCGCGACCTTCCTTATGTCCCTGACGTCATCTCAGGTCATGGAAGGTCCCCAGAAGTATTTTGGCAGTACCTCTTGATAGAGACATGCTAGAGCGATAGAAACACCTTAGATGCGTTCAGGTCGACGAGACGGATCGACTGATAATGATATGCAGCATGACCTTTTCCGGTCTGGTCGTGACATTGACCTAAGGTTGAATTTTCAAAATGACCTTTAATGGTCATATTATTGTTAATTCCACGTGTCTCGACGAGAAGAACACGATGCTTTCATAATAAATGTCGTACCGTTCTCGAGTCAAAAGTTATCACCGGAAAACATCTCATGTAAAAACGGCTATTTTTAGAGTTTTTGTCCTCCTAGAGAGACAGGCTAACCCGTTGATCTTAGGCCAAATCTAAGAGCCTTTTCCAGAAGGTGCGTTACAAGAGCTATCGGATGCCGTCTAATCGTCAAACCGTCAAACCAATGGTCGTCTAACCAACACCATTGAGTTGGAAATGAAAAATTGGCCATAAAACATGCATCGCACGACCCTAGTAAAGTTGGGTTCATGTGTGGACCCTTGGTGACCTGACCCCTTTGACCTGACCTGGTAACAGTGACCTCTTTTAGCAACATATGTATTAGGCCACCGACGCCCTATCGATGGTTTTCGATAAAATGTGTTTTACTCGATGATTCAACCAGACATGTGCTTGGATCTGAGAGCTGGATCTATGATCTCACTGGATCTCTCGACAAAATAGAGGGGTTGGATCTATGCTCCGAGTGGATCTCTCGACAAAATTCAGGGGTTGGATCTATGATCCGAATGGATCTCTCGACAAAATTTAGGGGTTGGATCTATGATTTCTGTGGATCCAGCGGGCAAAAATTTGTGGAGGACCTATGATCTGTATGGATCTCACGACAACATGTAGCCAATGAAACCCTTATCCTACATAATTGTACACCTTACAGTGCAATACAATTGAGAATTATCACTTGTGGACATGGTTATTGGACTTAAGACCACTTGTAATCATTAGGTATCATCATTAAATTTGAATTTAAATAAACAACATGTGTACTACATTTAAAATAAACCAAGAACATGCATATTGCTACTTTTTGTGACCAATTGTAACTTTTTCATGACAGCACTGATGACAATCTTATCAACAAGCTACAGCCACTTTAATTCAATGAACAAACAGTACAGACAGATGCAGTGGCAGCAGGGCACTGCAGATTTTCATTTTGGTCCCATTCTTTCCATGCAACGCCAGTAGGGCTAATGTTAAAATGCCAAAATCTATGGGGGCACTGTACCCTGGTGCCACCCCCCCCCCCCCCTGTTCCGCTGCCTATGGATAGATGTTAGGAAATCAAACCTGGAAGCCAAATAGGTCAGTTTTGTTAAAAATAATCCAGCAATCCACTTCTGCCAGGTATGAAATCCCAATCCAGAATGTTCGTATGAGCTATTAGTATGTGCAACACAATTTCGATTTAGTAAGATTAGCAACCAACCTCTAATACTTTCCTAATAAAATTACAAGTTCAAAAATGGCACCAACTTCTTCAGATTACCCAAATTACCTACTTTTGGCATCGTGCCACGTGTGGTACCATGCTGTGCTTTTGTTATGAGAGAGCCTCCCAAAAAAAAAGACAAACGAAATTCACAGCTCACGTTTTGGTAATATGGTTGTATGACGTCATTATCGTTTGACCAATGAAAAATCTTAATTTGACCAAAACCGTAATGATTCCAAAAGATTCCCCGTAATAGGCCCTTTAAACTAATGACGTAAGATATTAATATTCTTTTAAAAAGTGAACAAAATAAAGATGCAAGGCGCACACCGCTCAGGGCCATGAAATACCGTTTCAGCTTACGTTTACGTCATTAAATTCAACGCTACAAAGATGATATTCACAAACAATTGTATCGTAAAATTATGTGAGGCAGAAAAAATGAACATTCTTAAAAAAATCCAGACTTTTGAATTTCCAGTTTGATTTTTTATTCATTTTCATTAAAGGGACCCTCCCACCTTAACATTAGTTTTGAGTTGAGATAGCCAAATTGGTGGCCATGGCCTGAAAATACCGGTTTGGGCATTCACAACATCGATAAATGCTTTAATTCGGAGATATGGAATTTCAAACTTGCAGTTTTCGGATTCTAAGGGGCTAATGCATTGGTATGCCCCCTTAGAATTTGTGACGTCAGCGGAGATCTAACGATTTTTAAATCTTTTACTAAAACGTTTGGCAGCATGCGGTGGTATATGCTGCTTTGCGCGCAACAAATGCCACACTTTCAAATAAAGTCGCTAGGAACAGCGGAGATCCCAAAAAGTAAACAAAAGTAAAAGTCTAATATCTTGAAAACCGGTGAATATTTTTCGATGAAATTTGGTAGATATTCATTTTTGCTCTTTCTGAACCGAGCGACATCACTTTCATGCCAATTCATTAACTTTTTTGAAGGTGGGAGGGTCCCTTTAAACTTGAAGGTAGAACGCCTAGCTCATTTGTTATTTGAAATGACGTCACGAGTTCTATTTAGATACTGAATTATCATTTTACGGTAAATATCCAAGGCCATTACAATTCAAATTGGTATTTCGCTTCCCATCGCTTCCGCAGGCTGTTGAATATTTTTATGCTTTTGTTTATATCTCAGTTTATTTTATCAAATTTTTCTTTCAATAGGTAGATTGAAATACCTTTACCTAACCAAGCCACATGTGTTAGTATCATCTTTTATTGTTTATCAATCAATTGTGGTAGCTGGAAACTGGAAAGCCTCATGGTTGTCTAATGCAAGCTTGTCTTATCAATATCATTATGTAGATTCTAACATGAATTGTGATGTGGTAGGTACCTAGTTATGCATTGTTCATTAGTCATTACTTTGACTTACCTCTATGTTAAAGGTAGTGTGCCAGCTTTCTTGGACCGTATGGAGTTAATGGCCCAGATAAGGAGAACCGGATTTTTAGAACTTATCCATACCTTCAAAACTCATGGAAACGTCTTAAATTCTTCAAATTTTGAGTACCCCAGTGCGAAATTCGCCCCGACGGGTTGTCGGTCGTACCCCAACCACATTTCACACCACTATGAACAATAAATGCACACACTGAAATCGCTATTACCGATATGCTCATCCAATCAAGTTTCGATAAACCCGTTCATCATCATCTCCTGCGGTTTCGAACACGCCTGTTAGGTGGCTTCTGATGCTCGTCGAGGTCGGAATTTCCAAATACGCGTGGTGCGTCGGGCCGCGCGCTCTGACTTCGGCCAAGAAAAATGCGTCAGCTGATCATTGTCATTTCTGCCACTTGCGTGTGGTGAAATGGGGTCATAACTTAAGAGACGGCTTTTTCATATCAATTATTTTACATAAAATCATATTTCAAACCATAAATAATGTTCGACAGCCAAATAAAAGAAACAATACCAATACGGGCTTACAGTTTAAGGCTCGACATTGTGTTGTCTACGATTAGACAGCTGATAACTCATTCCCGTACGTCGTATGGTCGTAACACTATAATGACCTTTGCTTATTGTCACAAGTGCGCCGCATTCGCGATTGTTGCCCGACGCCTGTTTGCAGGTGAGCCCACTACAGTTGTTATACACATCTAAAAACCGAAAAACTTTTAGGCGAAAAAGACACTATTCCAGGACCATTTTTTATTTTTTTGCGATATTAGGTAAAAACAGAAGCTTCTTATCCTAGGAAAAATAAAATGGGAAATCTTTCAAAGGTGGCACACTACCTTTAATTGTTAACCCGCGCACCGACGGGGGTCTGCGCCAACTTAGTACCGACGGGGGGGGGGGGGGGGCGGATGACCGCCCCCCCTGAGATCTCGAGAACGAAGCAAGATAGCGACAAGCGGTAAACGGCATCGGATACGCACGGTCAAGATCTACAATTTTTACTAAGGTCATTTTCAGGTCAGGTCAAAGATGACGTCACAGGGGTCGAAAAAGTCAAAATGGCGGCGCTAAATATGGAGAGAGTTTTTCTCGAATAACTTTCGAATTAGTCATGATAGGAACAAACTAAGGGCATCATCGTGATCCTCTCGTCAATCCGCATCGAATGATATATATGTTGACCTCGAAAGGTCAAGGTCAAAGGTTGACCTCAGGTCACGTGACCTCGAGGTCATCATGGATATCATTCGATGCGTCTTGACGAGCTGAACACAATGAGACCATCCACGCGTCTGTATCTTGTTCCTGTACGGAGTTATTGGCCAAAAACCTTTGGTGACCTTTGATGACGTCACATGACCTCACAGCTGCCCAACAGCAAAACAGACCTCAAGGTAGTGAAGGTTGATCGTATATGAAGTCATGTATGGTATATGGGGCCATTCCGACCCGTTTTAGTGGTAAAAACAGGGAGTTGATTTTTCCCCCATTGACTTATAATGGGGAGGTCGCGAAATTGACCTGACCTTAGGTCACCGATATCAAAATTCCGAGATATACAAATTGTAGCTACTAATGACCTAATAACATCCTGCGACTTTCAAAGGCCTCCGACATCTACTGTAGCTCTGGCACGGTGACAAAGTTGCAAAAAAGTGACTTGAGGTTGGGTCATTCAAAGTGACCTGGTGACCTGACCTTGAAAGGTAGGAGGTTCAAACTTGCACACCATGTGTAAAATTGATAAGGGAATAGTCATACAAAATTTCGCGGCGCTACGCGCCGCGGTTTTCCCGCTATTCGCGAAAAACCTCAGGGGGGGCGGATATCCGCCCCCCCCGTCGGTGCGCGGGTTAATGCAAACTTTTCTGTTGGTATGTGAACTGTGAACAATCTTCATGTCACTCAATTTTCTCAAGTTGTGACCGTCATGAGCCTCCTTTATTTTGTATTCTGTATAATGTAACTGGATGCCTTTACTAATATGGCCTTTGTATAAGATTGTTTGTTTCTAACCATACTTTGGTATTCATAACTTCTTATGAAAGAAAGTTGTTAACATTTTGAGCACCTATGAGCTATGATCCCAATGGATCTCACGACAAAATTGGGGAGCCAGATCTATGATCCGAGTGGATCTAGCGACAAATTGAAGGGTCAGATCTATGATCCCAGTAGATCTCTCGACAAAATTGAGGGGTTGGATCTATGATCTGAATGGATCTCGGATCGGGATCCATGGGATCGGATCTCAGATCCATTTTTCCGGATCTAAGCACATGTCTGGATTCAACGCATTCCTTAGAAGACCCGCGAACGGTGAACAATTTTAGCTTTGACCTGTCCTGTAATGTCATCGGTGACCCCGAGGTCAATGAAATTAATCTTGTCTCGACAGTTTTAACAGTGCTATCGAACGCCGTTCGAGATTCGCACATCCATCCAGTAGTTTCGGAGATACGAGAGGGGTTGCAAAAAATAGCCCCCCTCCCCCCACCAGGGCGCGGGTTAAAGGAAAAGGGCCACCTTCGTGAAATATGAAGATATCGTTGTTCTTCATTTTGACATTATTATTTTTCATTTTCTTTTTAAAACTGGTGCCAGAAGTGCACAATTCGCGAAAAAGTATTTAAAACTATTTAACATATTGGTACTATGTTGAATGTTGATACTCTCTACGGCACCTACTGTATGATGGCATAGCGATGACGTCACACTCAAGCCAATCAGCGTTCAGAAGACAGACTCGTCGGATTGTGTCAGATAAGCTGATTGGTTAAAGCTGAGCTGGTTGAAGCTGATTGGTAAAAAACCAAAGCCTCGCCGCGGGTGGCTGTATTGTCGGATAAGAACGCATTCCTGGGATAAGGACGCATTCCTGGCGTATTTTCTTTTAAAATTGCCGATAACTACGAATGGAGGCCGAAATCGGCCGTAAGGAGGCAGACAGATGGGTTTTCGGACACGGGCTACAATATGGCTACAAGATGGCTATCTCAGTTTCAATCCCCATGTTAAAGGTGGCCCTTTTCCTTTAAGCTTAATCGTTTTTTTTAGGATTGTAGACAATAGAACCTATAGGATAATTATTTTTTCGTTTGGTTCAATGCAATAAATTTGGAAATGTTTAAGCAATGGTTGAAAACACTATTTAGAACATAATCAAATACGTATTCACTATTCCAATGCTCGACATTTATAGCGATGGCAGGGATGACTTTATATCGTGACTCGTGAGCTGAGTTATCCAGTAGGCATTCATACGCTACTTATTTTAAAGGCACGGATGTTGGGAACTTAACTTTCAATTAATCTGAGATCGTGCGTAACAAATAGTGTAGAAAAGACGAACGGTCTCTGAACAGATTCCCCAAACTTCCATTACAATCGTAACCATTAGGAAAATGGTCATCAGCGGAGATAATAAATGACTTTTACTAGTCACATGCTAAGGTGTACCCGGATATTTGCACGGGTATGTTATTTTTAGGACGACTAGTCGGCCAATCGTCCATTGTTGCAACTCAAGGAAGCGCACCATTCTGATTGAATGTCCGGCCCGTTGCTGATGTTCTGTGCTATGCATATTGCATAAGGGACACGGTGACGACATGAGGCAGCCTGATCGAATAGACTGGGATACAGGTCCGCCAATTTGCTCAGCAATCCGATTGGCAGCGTCCCAGAATAGCTCACACTGGGGATTTCCTCCCGAAGAACATCGAATTGGCCTGGATGTAAGGAATCCAGCGGACAAAGCTGCTTAGTGCTTCGTCTAATAAACACATAAACGTTAGACGTTTATTCGTAATGGGTTGATGTGCTTTTTTTATCTGCGCAAAGTGCTGCAGTTTTAACCGCGAAACGTCAGCTCCTGTACATTTCTAATCAATATTCATTTTTATCACATGCTGGGTCAGTCTGGTTACTTTCAATGATATTCAACCCCCTAACCGGACCTTCCTATCGGTTTTATTCATACCGGTAGGGGCCGAGAGGCATGAGCGGAACCTTCTTCGCCGTTTTTCCCCCAAATTGAGCTACTGTGTCGCGGAAAAATCGAGTAGCACCGTTAGGGGATGCAACGACTGATTTTCGAGTTTAATAAGGTCTCAGACGAACCGGTCACTTCTGAGGTCTGGTCATCTGCTCTAAGGTAAATATGAGTTCGGTATTTGGTGAAAAGCTTAGCCAAAAATGGAGTCATATGCGCGATTTTTAGCGCCACCGTGTTCGTCATGGTCGGGCGTGTCGAATGATTTTTTGTTTTACTTATGGTGTTGATTTCAGATCAAAGTCGGGTAACAGCTTCTCAGGTCACAAAGTTGGATTGAGGAAGCCATGCTGCGTAGCATTCGATTCAGCAGATCTATCTAAGTCCGTTGGTGGCTTTCCCGATTCGCTAGCTCATGGTGAGGTGACGTGACCGACCTGATCTCAGGTGATCGTAATAAAGATCCAAGGCATACAAGTTGTGAGGGGCGAGGATCCGAAAGGTCACCAAGTTTGGTAGTCTGGTTGTACCTAAGTTTCACATCTCTGCGAAAGAGTCCCTGTCACTGGGGGCATTGTAAAGTCGCGACATTTTAGGACATTGCGGAGGTTCACTTATGACGTCATAGGTTAGTGACCTGACCTGACCTTAACATGTGGGTTAATGTCACAAGATCCGGCTTAAATTAAAGGTCACGTCTGCTAACTTTCAGCTCTCTATGGCGAGCGCGTTTTGGGCAATCGCGAAAAAAGCGTCAAGGGGAAGTGACACTCGCCCCCCGGCCCGCGGCCGGAGAGGGTGAATAATATTCTTCTCACATCTTCAAAGTAGCGATGTAGTAGTTGATTTCTGGCTCCGCTGCGATTTTCTCATTACACGTACTATCTAAATTCTGGGCGGTATGTATCTAGCGACCTGGTATGTCCGCGGCTGAACAACTGGCAAACATTTGGCGCTGCTGTATAGGAGGTTAGAATAAGCCGTGTGTCGTGCGGTCGCCACCCAGGGGAGCTGCTGGCTCGGATAGCTCAGCTCGTGGCCGGGTCGGGAGCTGTATGCCGGGGCCCGGGAGAGTCTGTCTTCCTTTGTAACTCCGTCTCTGGCAGTTGATCCACCCGGGCACCGGGCACCGACCTGGTGCTGCGGGCCTTGAACGGGCGAATCATGTGACATGCGGGCGGGTTTATACGAGGCTCGCTAGTCGCTACACTGAAATTGAAGTAGAAGTACATATATAGTTCAGAAATTAAAGGGATTGCGCCCGATGACTGTTTGGGTTCGATGTCCTGCAAAAACCTGCCAATTCAGAAGTGTCGATCTTTCGTTTTTTATCATGCCCATCTTTTTCATCTCGCGGTTGAATGTTTTGGAAAATAGTACCTAATGCTGTCATTCAGAATTACAAATAACCATGGGCGCCCGGGATATCAATAATTTAACTACAAGAATAGCCAATATCCAAGATCGCGAAGTTAATTTTCTCCATTGGCCTTTCGCCCAAACACATGGCAGTTAAAAAAAAATGATAAAGCGTTGTTTGGCCTCTACCAAGCACAAGAAATTCACTTAGACGATAAGGCATTATTGAACCCGGGGGGCTCACAAATAGCGTTTTGTCGCGCTCCTGACGCCCCGAGGTACCCCGGCAGCCCGCTGGCTGAACTCCGCTGGAGCAATCGGAGAGCTCTGTTTGTCACCAACAGATTAAGTTTATTACCTCGCCGTTTGTCTCGAAAGTTCGTACTCTGCCGTCGGTCGGTGGGAGAGTTCGGCCGAGACGCCGACATCGATCGATGTCTGGAACGTAGGGCGGCACGCTGCGCCACTAACGCCCGTCCTCTTTGACCCCGTCCAGGAGGGGATGGGGGGGGGGCGTCAGCGGGCCTCGCACCTCCGTCATCCGTCGCTGACGTCATCCGTCGGCTCTATCTCGGCGGTGACGCCATGACGTGTTCGTCGGTGGCGATGACTGCGAGCCGAGGCCGCTGGATGATGGGACGGCCTGGCGGCGACGGCCCATTTCTCTCCCCCTCCCACCCCCCACCCCCCACCCCGCGACTGCCATCACCATCAGAGGAATGGAGCCCCGTCTCGCCCCACCGACGGGAGGGGGGGGGAGGATCTCGGGTCATGGCTGCAGCTCCGTCCCCTCGCTCCCATTTCTCTCCCCAGATCGGAGCTCCGTCTTTTATCGCCGCTCCATCCCTCTAACCGCTCTCTCCCTCCGTCTCTGACTGCCCTCTCCCTCAGTGTCTGACCACTCTCTCCCCGTCTCTGACCACTCTCTCCCTCCCTCTCTCTGCCGCAGGTCGGAAGGAGGACGTGGCGTTCGCCAAGCAGAAGATCCTGGCGGCGGCCGAACACTTCAGCCAGCTGCGCGAGGCGCGCCGCCAGAACCCGGCCGGTCCAGCGCCCGCCCTCGGACCGCCCAAACGCGAGGGCGATGTCACCGTCTCCGTGGAGGTGCCGTACGAGTTTGTGGGCCTGGTGGTGGGTCAGAAGGGCGCCACCATCAAACGCATCCAGCAGGACACCAACACGTACATCACGACGCCGTCGCGCCGCCACCGGCCCATCTTCGAGGTGGTCGGGCAGCCGTGTGACGTGGAGACTGCGCGGGAGGCCATCACGGCGCACATCAGCAGCCGCGTCGACAAGTTCCGCAGCGAGACGGCGGCGTCTGGCGGCGGCAGCGGTGGTGGCGGGTCGTTCGGCGCCCCGTCGGCTCTCTCCTTCCTGGGAATGAGCGAGCCGACCACATACCGACCGCCGGCGGCCACCGAGCCGACGCCGCTCTTCGGAGCCATGGGCGACGCCAATCTGGGCGGAACGTGGACCGGCGTGCCGCCGCCGGGACCTCCGCCCCCGCCCAAGCAGCCGCCACCGCCGTTCTCGGGCCCGGCCGACCCGCTGGCGGGCCTGAGCGCCTCGCTGCGCGGCCTCTCGTTGCCTGACTCGGCGGCGGCGGCGAACTGGGCCGTGGACGCCCGAGGCCGGACGGCCAGCCTGCCAGCAGCCGACCCCGCGGACGCTCCGGGCGACCGGCGCCGCTCGGACGACGCGGCGGCTCCGCGCGCGCTGGGCGGTCTCCTGTTCGGCCTGCCGCCGACGCTGGGCTGGGAGGGCGGGCCGCTGCCGCCGGCGCGCCGCGCCTCCTCCAAGGGATCCTCGGAGACGCTCAACTCTGACTCGGGTGTGGAGACGGCCACCCCGCCTCCGCCGCTCGACGGCGCCGCCTTCGGTCCGATCGGCTCCAAACGCACCAGCCCGACCAGCCTCTCTGGCTGCTCTGAGTGACCCTGCCGGCTCGCTGGGCCGACCGGCCGACCGACTGACCTGACTCGGGTCAGACGGCTGCGCGGGTCACTAGCGGCAAAGATCGTCGCAGTTTGATCGCTCGACGAGAGCCACGCACAAAGACGTCGGACCGAAGTCCGGCGGACTGACAAGTTTTACTTTTGACTCTGGTTTGTAGAATACTCCTTGACCTGCGCCCCGTTAATCGACCACCGTGGCCTCAGCCCCTGCCGCCGCCGCTGGCGCCTCCCCGGCTCGGCGCGACGCAGCGGCACGCGCCTCCCTGCCGTCGGGGCCGGGCGCGCTGGCGTCTGGCGCGTCGATATTTCTGTCTTGGCCGGCTGGCGGGCGGCCAGCGTTCTCCCCTTCCATCGATCGCGGCCGGTCGGCCCGCGGTGCCGTCGCGTCGCTCCCGATGGGCCCACATATCGCCGCCGCCGCCGCCGCCGCCGTGGGGCGGAGGTGGGGGAGGGGTGCCGGGGACGGCGAGAGCCGCGCCGCGCCGCCGGCACGGCGGCCCCAGTGCGTATTGTAGAGCACAAACTATTTTATTTTCCTACAAAACTAGTATATGTTGCGTATGTCGTGAGTAAGGGCGAGATTATTTTCATACAGGGATGTGAGTCAGTGTAGAAATGTAGATGTTTATTTTTGTGATAATTGCTCCACACGAGCTTGGTTGCCAGTGAAAGATTTAGTCTTCCAAAATTGGTGTGGCATACCTTTGTGTTGTCCGTTTAGGTGTCCAGAGTGGCATTACGATTGGAGTTTGTATCTTAGAGTAACGATAGTACGCAGTGCCCTGTGTTCGTGGCGTGGGTCCTCCCAGTAACTTCGCCTTTTGTACTTTTTTACATTGTTGACGCCTAAAGCACGACAATGGAGTTATTTTGCACCACCGTGGACTCAAACGGCAATAACTAGGCCTTCATTGCTTCCCAAAATATGCAAATATCGTCTAATTCAGCCGGGAATCAAAGTGTGGCAGTCTGACCGCGGTTTGTCTCGTGGCGGCCAGGTCGGTAGCTCTGCATGTGCGGTAGTGAGCGTCCTCTCTCTCCTCTGCGGTCCTCGGGCCGTGACTTGTCTGTCTGTCTGCGGGCCGTGTGTCCGGGGGGCTGTCCGTGAGTCGGCTGGGGCCGCACCCGTGCCGTCGCGGCCGACAGGGCAGGGTGGCGGGGTCGTATCGACCGCGGCGAGGGGACGCGTCGACACGATCCAGCGCGGCCACCGACCGACCGCTCGGCGCTCACTGCTCACCGGACAGCCCCCCGGCCGCGGCCGCGCCGCTCCTGTACATACTCCCCGACAGCTAGAGTCGATGTGAAAGTCTACTGAATGTTAGCGGGCGTTGGTGGCCAGTCACCCTTCCACATGATCAACGAGTAATACGCTTGTGTAGCTGTTGAGGCGCTGTAGGCCCCAACTAGTACCTGATAATAATTTATCGTTAACCATTGAGTGTCGAGATGTCGACCCACATAATACTCCACTATATTTATATGTAGTTATAACTTATATCTAGCGGCCATTAATGCACATTCCATGGCTATTCTAAAACAATTTATCGAACAAATATCTATATTTATACCGAGGATGTTAAATTACATAATAATGCAATACCGATGTTGGTCGTAGAGTCTCACCTTGTACATAACACCCATTGTGACTTACTTAGATAAATGATAACTTCATCCCATTTTCAACCTATGAGGCCACCAACGCCCTTGGTATGTGCGTTGTGAGAGGTTTGGTTGTACAAACTTGCTTTTCGGTGTAAAAGATCTTGCTCAGTTGGACAGCAGGGTTTGAGGCATGCCATGTTAAACCTTGCATATATTTTATTACTGATGTCGAATGTATTTTGGAGCATCTACTACACGGTTTGAACCGAGTGTACTTATATTAATGTGTGTTGATTTTTCACATTTTGCTACTGTTTTATTTTCAAGACATAATACAATGTAAATTCTACGTGGATTTACTATGACGAACGTTCACATAGAAAACGATCATATGTATCGGGTCTCACCACGAGTAGTTACGAGCGAGCGAGCGCAGCGAGCGAAGTGAGTCTTTTCAATATAACGGAAAAATCTCAGTATGAGCGGCCCGGCCCGGCCCGGCCCGGCCCGGCCCGGCCCGGCCTGTAACGCTTTTGAGAGGCTTATATCTCAGCAACCGCTGGACCGATTGGCCTGCGGTCTTTTTTGTTGGGTAGCCCCATCCCTTCTACCCCGTAATTGACTACTTTTGATACATCTCAGTCACCGTCGTGGCACGTGCCACGTGAAAAGTCAAGGGTGTTCAAGCTGTTTTGCAAAAGTAGTGATTTTGAGAGGCTCATATCTCAGCAGCCGCTTGGGCGATTGACTTGCGGTAATTTTTGTAGGGTAGCAGCATCTCTTCTTCCCAAAATAGGATACTCTCGATGCATGTGGGTCACCCCCCAGTGCACGTGCAAAATACAACAATAAGAGGTGCCAAATTTGTTCCCATTTCAGTAACTCGGTAATTACTGGGGCGATTTCGCTGAAACTTGGCATACAAGTAGGCACCCACCAGGCAATGCATTCCCATGTATTGCGGTTAGGGTGCTACTGCACGTGCGCACGTGCAGGGGGCGTTTCCAGATCTCGAGAACGGCTGGGGCGATTGCCCTCAAATTTAGTACACGGTTGGGGACAGGTTAGTAGGGTGCCGTGCAAAAGTCATTTTGGACCCGTTTGCACGTGCGCACGTGCAGAATGCCGCTTCCAGATCTCAGGAACGGCTGAGCCGATTGCGTTCAAATTTGGCACACCGCTAGCGACCGGTTAGAAGGGTGCTTTGCGCAAGCCCGTTGGAAGCACCCTCTCGCCCTTCCGCACGTGCAGGGCTCACTATCTCGCTCGCTCGTTCATCGCCCAAAAGGCGTTTTACTGGTAGCATAAGATTAAGAAACTTGGAAGTAGCTAGTTTTTCGATTAGAGTTGGAACTACAACAAAGCGTGAAACAATAAACGACTTTAAAATTCTGCGAAGTTGCTGAAGGAAAACTTTCCTGTTCCAGCAGCATACTGTTCTGTGGGCATAAGCGCTGAATGTTGCCAGGATCTTCGGGTGTTTTTTTTTTTTCAACCACGGGCTCTGAACTGCATTGAAAGAACTCTGCTATTTTCATCCTCCCACTTTTCCAGCTCGCTGCAACAACTTCTGCGTGCGGGTCTGTGCGAGAAAGCCGAGTACAAAAGCAAATTACGCTCGAACCTACAGCTCGTGTGCCAAGCCGTGGCCTGCTTTAGAGTGATACACTCACCGGGGGACTTCAAGAGCGGTGTAATCGTCTCACAATGCATATTATCAAGTGTCATCTGCCCTAACCGATAGTGGGCTGCTCTGTGAGGCATTAAGTTACTGGCTGGTTGGATAAGGCGCGTGTAGTGCGTCTTGGTACGGGCGTCGCTCGGCTGGTGAGGTAGGGCCCACTCGCTGGAGGCTCGGTCGACGGGCGGTGTGAACGTCAGCGGCCGGTTGATTGCGGCGATCGATGCCACTCCCTGCCGTTCCCAGACGGTTGGGGGACGGCAACTGTCCACTAAATATGTCAACCATAATGTCGATCACAGCTCGCCAGGATTTATCGACAAGGGTTCCTGACCTGACCCATCGCCGAATGTCAAGTGAGAAGGACGGTGCCGCACACCCACCGTCTCTCTCTCTCTGTATTCACGGCGCCGACAGCGGGGATAGCCCACATTAGTCGTGTTCTGCCACTCGGTAAACGAGGCACGGAGCAGGGAACGACAGGATGGCCGTGAGGGGGGGGGGCAGAGTGGGGCTGTGGAAAACGATGTCAACTAATTCAGTTATATAATGCCGTGAATCTGTTTTATATAATGGCACGATTGCTGATGGTTCCTGGCACGCGACGACGACGCGAGACAGAGCGACACGCGAAGAGAGTGGAGGTCGAGACTACCTCAAGATAGGCTCTGGCGGTTCCAGAGCCGGCGTTTCTGGCCTGAGCTCCAGGGGCGCCGTGGGCTGCAGCGCGCCGCCGCTGGTTATCAACCCTCCCTTGTTCTCGTCGCCTCGCGTGGCAGCCGTCCCCCCCCCCCCCCCCCCGCTGCGGAGCGCTGCGGGCGGCGGCCGAGTGGCGGCGCTAGTGTCGCCGCCCGGGTCGTATCGACCGGAGGACCCCTCACCGCCGCGCCGCCGCCACCGGTCACCCTGGAAACTGGCGTCAGGGGCCGCCGCCGCCGGCGGAGCGGGGCACGCACACGCCCCAATATTGATCCCGCGTCGCATGCTGCACCCGACGAGCCGACTTCCGCGTCTGCTGCCGACGGAGGGACGCCCGCCGCCCGGCCCGCCGGGTGTTCGGTTACGGCCGCCGAAAACAGCGCCAGCGACCGGTGACCGGTGGCGGGTCAGGTGTCGAACCACTGCACCAGTTCGCGGGCTGGGTCTGGTTGGTGATAAGCTTTGTTGGATTGATGGTGGAACACTGATGTTGGCACCGCGCACGCCTTATTTCATATCATAAAGTTGAAGCCCCGGTTAAAGGTCTCATCTACTCTTCGGCACCCATCTTTTTTTTTTAATGGTTTCATTGACCAATGACGCATGCCGAATTAGGTGCCACTGAAGCTTCAACCGGGGTTTGTACATATGTATACGTTATGATCTTATGATTTTCGCCCACGAATGAAACATTTAATGTTACTTGGGACTTGGGAGGTCGTGAATTCATTCATATTTGCATGGTTTTCTTAAAAAGGTGAAGACGAAACGGCACTTTCAGTAAGGGACTGTGTAGGCACATGTTAGACAATGAATGAATAAGCCCGACTGAATTAAATAAACCCTGAGAACTCGAGGTCATCCAGCCGCATGCACCCTGAAATGAAACGACGATAGCGAGGGGTCGCTTCTCGCGTATCCTCACTCATGCGAACGTCCGGACGCCACTTCACAGGCCAGGTAAAGGTCAGAGCTGGTAGTCGGAGGGCTTGAAACCAACCAAGCCATCAACTTGACCATCAGTGGTGAGGCCCGCCTTAGTGGTGGCTGATGACAAGTAACACTAAACGGACTAACAGAGAACCAGGGGACACGAAACATTCATTAGCTCTCGTCTCCAAAGAGAGAAAAGGCAGGCCTCTAACGGAGAAATACCAGACCGTCCTTTTCGATCGATGAATCAGACCGCTATCTGGCGAAAGCAGCCGTCCAATACAGAAGCAGGATGCTTGTGGGTATAGCTGATGGCCCTCCAAATCTCCATCAGGGATCAGAACATAAACGCAGCCCAGTCGAGAAGCCACGGTAAACGGGTCAGTGACTGCTGACGGCAGCGGCGATGACCGCTTCGGTAGACGCCATCCGGCGGTCCATTTGCCCATCATTCCCTCTGCCCTTGCGTCCCAAAGTCATCACCCAGGTCAGTCGCTAGGCCAGGTCAGAGGACGGGTCTGAAGCTGCCGTCACAGCCCTACAGCCGCCCGCCGGCCACCTGAGCTGCCACCTAGAGCCCCCCGCCAGTAGCCGCCCTCCGCCCGAGCGCCGTCGGGGCCTACACAGGGCCGCACACCGCCAAAGAAGGCCCTCGTGTCGTCGGCTGGTGGGCGCCGCTTGGCAGGGCAGCAGCCGAGCTATTTTTTGGCCGTCTGCCGCCGGGGGCCGGGAGACGCGCCGGGCCGCCGCTGGCCCACAGCGACGGCTGACCTGGCACCGGCGGCGGCGGGGGATGGGCGTGGGTTGGGTGTTCGCTGCTCAGAATGGCCACTGCCGAAAGCCGAACCCCTGCAGGAATCGAGGTCGTCACCTAACGAGAAGCATGAAACAAAGTGAAAAAATGACTACGGCGAAACATGTAGAGCTGGTCTGGTCTGACGCCTAAGAGCAGTGTGTCTTGTCATCCTCGTGTTTTACTTGAGCACGAGCATATAATGACACGCGGAGGTATGGTATCAGATTTGTAAGCTGCCGCTGTATCAGCGCAGTACATGCACCATACAACTTCGTGAATCGTGTAGCAAGATTAACGGACGACAGAAAGCCGACAGTACCAGTGTCTACCAAACGGCTAAAAGGCATTGCTGAATTAGAAGAGGTAGGCGTTATTTATCCAGCGAAGAAAGGCAACCTCGACGAAGACCGTAACGCTTTTGATGAACTTGATGACGACGAATATAGTAAGAACCGAATTCGTATCGGATATGAAACAACAGAAGGGCAACGGTAGAACCACAAAAGGCTGGGAGCTGGGCTTGATTCGATAAGGGTGTCACGCGGAAACTAGGCTTTCGTTATCCGGGTGTATTGCTGCTCGGTTCAGCGTATCGACGGTACCGCACTTCAAAAGCCCAGATGGATGGATAGATGGATGGATGCGGAACCAATGCCGTATCGATACGGTAAATCTATTCAATAAGGTCTGACTAGACACCTACTGCTTTTGGCACGCCCGAGTGTCGAGGACTTTTTGCTTCCAAGAAAAAAGCGAGCCCATCTAGCGTAAACAATCCTCTTTCGCCGACTGCATCGGCTTCTTGGCTGGAGAAACGAGGCAGGCCAAACGGCAGAGTCGACGTCGACGTTGATCCCCTGCCGCCATTTCGCCGGTCCCAGCCTGCGGACAAACCCCCACGGCTGGCGCGGCCGGCCCGGTCGGGACTCGGGAGGGGGCGGCGCCGACACCCGAGCCGACCACGTGACTCGGCCGGCTGCCAGCTATGCGACGGCGGCGCGTCGGCAGCCAACTGGGACTGCCGCCGGCGCCAGGTGCCCCTACCCTCCCCACCTCCCCAGGGGGAGGCAGCCGGCAGAGGAGGGCAGCCGGTCCCGCGGAGCATCCGCCCCTACCGTGACGGCCCACGGCACGCCAGCGTGGTTTGATCAATCGTGAATTGGGCCACGGGACCGGACCGGCTGGAGGGCGGACGTCCGGCAGGTGCCCACAGGAGGGAGGGGGGGGGAGGGGATCCGGAGGGGAAGGCACGAGCCGGCGGGAACCGCGCCACCCATTCAAATCGAATGACGTTCGATAAAGGACGAGCACCAAAACGCTGAACGGTAGAGTTGCGTGTTTGCGAGCTTTCAAATTAACCAAAAGGTTTCTGACAGGTTTCCTACATAGCAAATATTCAGCAAGTTCTGCCGTAAAATCATTAGCGGCATTTAAACATGGTCTAGTGAAGGCAAATTATATTTCACTGGAAGGTCTAATCTAATTTTGCCTAATTTGCAGGAGCCTGTAAATTCGAAACGGATTAATTTTCCCGAGTAAGGGCTCGAAGCATTAGCGCGAATTATCGCCCGGTTAGCCAGCTCCGGCGTACAAAATGCTGCTACAGCGCCACGGGCATCAAATACCGAAAAGGGAAATGAAGAACGAGCACACGAGCCCGATTGGGCGGGGCAGATATGATCATTGAATTGCTGGGCGTCAGAGTTAGCACTCGACATCAGGGCTTACGTGAACGATCAGATGTTCAGTCCACTCAATGAAAGGCACTGAACCAGCCAATCAGATCTAGAACCACAAGCGATTCATCTCCTTGCTACAAAATTACATGGAATTTTACCAACGGTGACACTGACAGGGCTAGATAGTGGGTCCATCGTCAAACGTCATTGAGGGTTGGGCCACATCCGATCCGGCTGGCTGCTGCGCCCCGTCTGCTCCGAGCTTTCCACTGCCCCTGCCCCTTCCCCAGGACCGGGGCAGGATCGGCACAGAAATAGGGACTTCCATTCTGGTTCTGGTGCCCAATGGCTGGAGCACCTGAAGCGAGGCTCACCGGGACGAGGTGGGTGCCACAGGTGCTGCCACCTGTCTTACATACGACAGAGATCAAGGAAAATTAGGAGATCCGTCTCCACCTTCGGCGAACGATCATTTAGCAATTAAGATCCGGACAAATGCTCCTTTGGAGTCCGTTTGGAGGAAAATGGGGCTAAATTCCCAAGCTATTCATCTGCACAATGTACCTGATAGGATAATGTTTACAAATCTGTGGCTTTCTTGTCCCGTTGGCTTGAGTTTGGTTTGGGACGGACTTTGGTTTGGGTTTGAGACGTTGGTTGTTCTTGGCTTTCTTGCCTCATATTTATCCAAAAGGTCATGGTCATATGCTGTGTGGAAGGTTTGAATTTGGCCGATCAAAAACGATAAAACGATTGTTTCTGAGTTACATTATGTAAAAAGTATATTGCCACCTCAACAAATCACCTACATAAAAAGACAACAGATCTCATAGCGACTCCATCGTCATGCCAACAGCGCCCTCCCACCAGCCCCTTTCCTCTCCCTTACCCCCTTCCACAGCCGCACTCACGGGTCAACTGCCACACGCTTCGGCTCCGGCTCCAGCGCAGACGACTTCCGCCGGATCTTGATCTTCCGCTTCTCCAGCTTCAGCTTGGCCTTGATGTCGCAGTCGAGACTGGCCGCGTCATCGTGGCCGTTGTGTTCTGTCGCCGGTGGGTCTGGCTCGGCGGGCGCTGGCGCCGTGGGTGGTTTAGGGGGTACTGCCGCCGGGGACGGGACCGTGTCGCCGCCGGCGCTGACTGTAAGCGGCGCAGCCGCCGCCGTGGGCGCAGCCTGAGGCGACTCACCGGTGCTAGAGCGACGTTTGATGACCACTCGGTCCAGACTGCCCTCTGAGGACCTCTTCGTGCCGCCCCCGCCCCCGCCCGCGCCGCCCAGGCGGATGATGCGCTTCTCTCCGGTGACAGCGGCCGCCGGTGGAGGTTTCAGTCGACTGACGCCAGGCGGCGCAGCGGTCGATCCGCCAGGTGCCGACACGCGGCAGGCAGCGGCGGTGGAAGTAGCGGGCTTGGGACAACTGCCCGGCGCAGCCGGACTGAGCTCCTCCCAGTCCCTATTAAAGAAGAAAATAACGTTACAAAAACGCAAAAATACATATCTGAGGAATGTTGACATCATAAGAAAGCTGAGGAATAAAGACGTGTCGATCGCACGAATCAGAGTGCAACGAGACTTCACTCAATAAAATATAATACCCTGCATCGCGACTACACCGCTAGCATCCAGCTACCACTACTATTCATACCACACACTGACCCACCCCTGCCCCGTGTCTCCCGGACCTACAGCCGCGGGCAGTCTCAGTCCCGGACCCTCCGCTGGCCGACACCACTGACCTCTCCTCGGGCGGGGCGGCGCGCGGCCGGCGCTGTCGGGCGGCGTACCAGCGGCCGGCGCGGGTGTCTCGGTACACCCGCTGTGGCAGCGGCGTCACCAGCCGGTGCCACAGCTCCACCAGAGCTGCCTTGGGCGCCTCGGACACGTCCGTCGACGCCAGGCGCTGCGGGGAAACCGGAGTGAGGGGAGGGAGGGAGATTAGTCTCAAATTACCGAAGGAGGCCTTATTTTTTCATCTAACCAAAGTATTTATAACTATTGCTTTGTGTTGTCACTTAGCCCATCAAACCAGAGGCAAGGATAGCTTAACAGTTTCCTTTGGTAAACATAAAATAACATCAAATTCAAAAGGTGAGATATGGAAACCAGGGCTGCGGAGTCGGAGTCGGAGTCGGAGTCGGAGTCGGTCGGAGTCGACAGTTGTGACCGGAGTCGGAGTCGGAGTCGATTTTAGAAACCTGAGCCGGAGTCGGAGTCGGAGTCACCGAAAATCTGTCGACTCCGCAGCCCTGCTAGGTCTGCGGAGTCGGAGTCGGGAGTTGGAGTCGGTCGGAGTCGACAATTCTGCCCGGAGTCGGAGTCGGAGTCAGAGCTAGTTTTAGAAAGCCGGAGTCGGAGTCGGAGTCGCCGAAAATTCATCGACTCCGCAGCCCTGATGGAAACACACCTGTGAAAGGGTCTGCCGAAGCACTTCAACTGACATCACCTCGGGCTGCATCAGGTCAAGGGTGCACTCTGCTTTTTCCATGTTGTGAGCCTGGAGAAAAACAATTTTCAATAAAAACACTACACACTGACAGGTAAATATTTACTTTAGGTCCGCAATATTATTTTAACAAGAAAAAATGCACATTCTTACACTATTTGATGTCCTGAATTCAGATATGATGCTTAAATGCATCAAAAATGTAAAATAAGGTACTAAAACCCCAGCACATTACACCGCACAGCTGCACAATACACACTGAAGAAAGCACGCTTCCGCGACAAAAACGAAACATACAACGCTGCCCTTTAAAAGAAAAAAATGATGCGGATATTCATTAGTTTTTGACGTTATGAAAATGACGTCATAATACCAAAGCACAAGAAAAACGGTGAATAAAAAAGAGAAAATATTTAGCAAAGGTAATAGAGCATGAGAAAATGAACAGAACATAACCAAACCTTACCTAACCTGACCTACTGATGTTTGCCTACTGGGGGAAAAGGAAAAAGTGACTTGCATGAATAGATTGCAAGCAATGGTAAGTCAAATATTTTCAGGTTAAGTGGTTATGCATCAGGCTTCAGGCCTTCGGCCTGAAGCCAGATACACAACCACTTAACCTAAAAATATTTGACTTACCATTGCCTGTAATCTCTCCTAAGGCATTGCCTTCGGCACTGCACCGCTCCGCCACGATTATTTTGACGTCACTTTCCTTACAATTTATTATCATCCGTAATTTCGCTCAACCTTGGTTGGACCATTTGTAGCGGGTGCGCCGCGCAGACAGTCTTTTGACACGTGAGTTCCGGTCGGAGGCGGGGCCGTTGGTGGTGACACTGGTGATACTAGTGTACTGGTGCTTTTAAATTGGTTTCTAGAAGGAATAAGTATCAGAAATGAAATCAGGAGGTCTTAGAGTATCGTGTGAATGACTTTTATTTACCCCTCTGTTTTGCGGACCTAAAGTAAATAAATACCCACTGACATTTAAATGCTTGCCCCTCAGCCTTCAAGGATTTCCAGATGTTGATGTCAAAATGAGAAAAAGAAACATCACAAAATCGCTCTACAATTGCTTAGGCATCAGCACTGGGCACCAGTTGAAACTTGAAGCTGTGCAAAAATTAGTGGCAATCCTCAGCTATTGCTATTCCCTGTATTCTAGGGCCCTGTTTCACCGGTGATAGCAGCAAGCTGCTATCACGTTTCGCGAGCTGACGTCATGTCGTGACGCCATACTGTTGTCGTAATGGGTAGTTCCGGCGCACGATTGCCGCGACCTTGGCGGCGGCATTAAGTGACGTATGAGCCTAAAAGTAAGAGTTTACGCAGTCATGATAGTATATATATTTTTGATAGGATGGTAATTTTCTCAGCACTAAAAACCGGTCATTTTGTGGTATTTTCGGCAAAACTAGGCATTTCCAGTTAATTTGAGGTATAACAGGGTCATTTAGCACCTAACCAGTTTTAACACCTATTTAAGGGACTTTAGCACTGCTTTCAGTCTAAATCGCAGTACTTTTAGTTTGAATAGCACCTAATGGTAGTCATTTCGCACTATTTTTGGTAGATGTTTAGGCATCCCTACTAAATCTAGAAGGATTTTAGTATATTATGGAGAAATAAACTACAATACTAGTCTGTACTAGCTACAGATTGTTTGTTGCCAGGTCGATTAGCGTCTGTTTCGGCGCATGCGTTTTGAGAGGACCGATAGGACGCAAGGCGCGCTTCTTGGACGGATTTGGCAAGGAATTTGGATAGATTGATTTACGTGCAGCCTCAGCGTGTGCCGATCATCCTGCCTTTTCTTGTCCAAGAGTGAACTGAGCGAGGTTCTTAGCATGGAAATTGGAGAGTGATGACGATTTCCGCGAGGATGTTGGGTCCTACCGTCCGCCCAAGCGTACTGGTCCGCCAGTGCTGCTGTCTTTATTCTGTCAGGTTATCTAACGGCGCTATGGGCATGTAGGTACAGCATTGCAGTAGCAAATGCTTAATCTAAATTTTGTGCGGTGGCATTTTCCCATGCTTAGAAGGAAGCGCTCGACGTCCCTTCCGTACGTGTCGTGGAAGGGACGTGTCTGTCATTGACGCACATCTAACTAGATGGAGATCTTGATTGTAGCATTTCGCAGCAGCGTTTCATCGTTCAGCGGCCTAACGCCTAGCCAGCTCTCATTTCGAGGGGGTGGTACTTTGCTGCTGAGGAGCATGAGTGGTCACGCTGCATCGTGAGCCAGATGAAGCCGGTGGGCAGACCGTGTACCGTACATTTGCGTACATGATTTTGTCCCACGAACTTAAGCGATGCGCATTTTTGTCCACAAATTTACCTAATATGTATATACCCAGCATGCCTATTAGTCGTTAGGGGGCAGCACCGGGCGTGGTGTATTGCGTAGAGGGCAGGGCCTATATGCAACAAAACTTGCTCCAATTCCGTTTTCATCGTGGAAGTAATACGCTGAATGGAGGATCATACTTTGATGTCCAACTTACGTACAACATAAAAAATACATACCTCAAGGCTCAAGAATACTGTGATCATAGCTCAGTAGCTCGTGCTCGGCAGTGAAATCATGAATAGTGCTCATATACCGGATTTAGTGCAAAATGAGCTACCACACACCCATTTATCATGCCAGATCTGGCATCGCCTCTATACTAACTAAAATAGTGCGGAATGACCGGATATACCTGTATTTGACAGGAATTGCCTGCGAAAAGACGATAGTGCAAACTGAACTTATGATAGTGCAAAATAACTGAAATTTAGGTACTGAAAAAATTATCCCCCTTTTGGATATATATTTTTTCAATATGATGTATTTAAAAGAAGTTGGGTTTAGGAAAAAATTTTGACATTAACTTCGAACATTTAGCTGATGACGTAAAACAATATTGCGGCAATCGTGCGCCAGAATTGCCCCTTACGTCAGCAGTATGACGTCATCACATTACGTCAGCTCGCGCAATTTGATAGTAGCTTGCTGCTATCACCGGTGAAACAGGGCCTAGAACAGAGATCAGCCGGTAGTTATTGCAAATGTCATATGTAACGGAAGTTGGCACAGATTCAGCACCGATTCAGCACAGCACATATTCGGTAGGGGGAAAAAAGGCCCCGGTAGAGGGAAACCTTTATGACCCGTTTTCCCCTAGAAATGACGTCACAAAGAGGTAAAAATGGGTATCAATCGAAAGCTCTCGTTTACCCAGACACAGTCCTGCAGGAAAATTTCACTTTTTCCCCATAGGAAAGTTTGTACGGGAAAATCAAAATTTTGGGTCAATGGGGGGTCCCCCCCGATTTCGTTCAAAATCGGCACACAGGTGCCCCACCACCAGCCGAGAAACTTTCCCCAAAACGGTCCCCGTTGCATTGACGTTTAAGGCCCGTAAAGCCCCCTAGACTCGTAAAATATCCGTAAAATCGCCTTTGTACGGACAAAAAAGTGGTGCTATGGTAAAAATGGGTATCAATCGAAAGCTCTCGTTTACCCAGACACAGTCCTGCAGGAAAATTTCACTTTTTCCCCATAGGAAAGTTTGTACGGGAAAATCAAAATTTTGGGTCAATGGGGGGTCCCCCCCGATTTCGTTCAAAATCGGCACACAGGTGCCCCACCACCAGCCGAGAAACTTTCCCCAAAACGGTCCCCGTTGCATTGACGTTTAAGGCCCGTAAAGCCCCCTAGACTCGTAAAATATCCGTAAAATCGCCTTTGTACGGACAAAAAAGTGGTGCTATGGTAAAAATGGGTATCAATCGAAAGCTCTCGTTTACCCAGACACAGTCCTGCAGGAAAATTTCACTTTTTCCCCATAGGAAAGTTTGTACGGGAAAATCAAAATTTTGGGTCAATGGGGGGTCCCCCCGATTTCGTTCAAAATCGGCACACAGGTGCCCCACCACCAGCCGAGAAACTTTCCCCAAAACGGTCCCCGTTGCATTGACGTTTAAGGCCCGTAAAGCCCCCTAGACTCGTAAAATATCCGTAAAATCGCCTTTGTACGGACAAAAAAGTGGTGCTATGGTAAAAATGGGTATCAATCGAAAGCTCTCGTTTACCCAGACACAGTCCTGCAGGAAAATTTCACTTTTTCCCCATAGGAAAGTTTGTACGGGAAAATCAAAATTTTGGGTCAATGGGGGGTCCCCCCCGATTTCGTTCAAAATCGGCACACAGGTGCCCCACCACCAGCCGAGAAACTTTCCCCAAAACGGTCCCCGTTGCATTAACGTTTAAGGCCCGTAAAGCCCCCTAGACTCGTAAAATATCCGTAAAATCGCCTTTGTACGGACAAAAAAGTGGTGCTATGGTAAAAATGGGTATCAATCGAAAGCTCTCGTTTACCCAGACACAGTCCTGCAGGAAAATTTCACTTTTTCCCCATAGGAAAGATTTTACGGGAAAATCAAAATTTTGGGTCAATGGGGGGTCCCCCCCGATTTCGTTCAAAATCGGCACACAGGTGCCCCACCACCAGCCGAGAAACTTTCCCCAAAACGGTCCCCGTTGCATTGACGTTTAAGGCCCGTAAAGCCCCCTAGACTCGTAAAATATCCGTAAAATCGCCTTTGTACGGACAAAAAAGTGGTGCTATGGTAAAAATGGGTATCAATCGAAAGCTCTCGTTTACCCAGACACAGTCCTGCAGGAAAATTTCACTTTTTCCCCATAGGAAAGTTTGTACGGGAAAATCAAAATTTTGGGTCAATGGGGGGGTCCCCCCCGATTTCGTTCAAAATCGGCACACAGGTGCCCCACCACCAGCCGAGAAACTTTCCCCAAAACGGTCCCCGTTGCATTGACGTTTAAGGCCCGTAAAGCCCCCTAGACTCGTAAAATATCCGTAAAATCGCCTTTGTACGGACAAAAAAGTGGTGCTATGGTAAAAATGGGTATCAATCGAAAGCTCTCGTTTACCCAGACACAGTCCTGAAGGAAAATTTCACTTTTTCCCCATAGGAAAGTTTGTACGGGAAAATCAAAATTTTGGGTCAATGGGGGTCCCCCCCGATTTCGTTCAAAATCGGCACACAGGTGCCCCACCACCAGCCGAGAAACTTTCCCCAAAACGGTCCCCGTTGCATTGACGTTTAAGGCCCGTAAAGCCCCCTAGACTCGTAAAATATCCGTAAAATCGCCTTTGTACGGACAAAAAAGTGGTGCTATGGTAAAAATGTGTATCAATCGAAAGCTCTCGTTTACCCAGACACAGTCCTGCAGGAAAATTTCACTTTTTCCCCATAGGAAAGTTTGTACGGGAAAATCAAAATTTTGGGTCAATGGGGGGTCCCCCCCGATTTCGTTCAAAATCGGCACACAGGTGCCCCACCACCAGCCGAGAAACTTTCCCCAAAACGGTCCCCGTTGCATTGACGTTTAAGGCCCGTAAAGCCCCCTAGACTCGTAAAATATCCGTAAAATCGCCTTTGTACGGACAAAAAAGTGGTGCTATGGTAAAAATGGGTATCAATCGAAAGCTCTCGTTTACCCAGACACAGTCCTGCAGGAAAATTTCACTTTTTCCCCATAGGAAAGTTTGTACGGGAAAATCAAAATTTTGGGTCAATGGGGGGTCCCCCCGATTTCGTTCAAAATCGGCACACAGGTGCCCCACCACCAGCCGAGAAACTTTCCCCAAAACGGTCCCCGTTGCATTGACGTTTAAGGCCCGTAAAGCCCCCTAGACTCGTAAAATATCCGTAAAATCGCCTTTGTACGGACAAAAAAGTGGTGCTATGGTAAAAATGGGTATCAATCGAAAGCTCTCGTTTACCCAGACACAGTCCTGCAGGAAAATTTCACTTTTTCCCCATAGGAAAGTTTGTACGGGAAAATCAAAATTTTGGGTCAATGGGGGGTCCCCCCCGATTTCGTTCAAAATCGGCACACAGGTGCCCCACCACCAGCCGAGAAACTTTCCCCAAAACGGTCCCCGTTGCATTAACGTTTAAGGCCCGTAAAGCCCCCTAGACTCGTAAAATATCCGTAAAATCGCCTTTGTACGGACAAAAAAGTGGTGCTATGGTAAAAATGGGTATCAATCGAAAGCTCTCGTTTACCCAGACACAGTCCTGCAGGAAAATTTCACTTTTTCCCCATAGGAAAGATTTTACGGGAAAATCAAAATTTTGGGTCAATGGGGGGTCCCCCCCGATTTCGTTCAAAATCGGCACACAGGTGCCCC